AAATGGGACGGTTATCTGGAAATTTCTAGCCGTTCTCAAGTAATAGAAAATTCTAGGCAAAATTTGCTTCTCCGAACAGATATTTTAAAGAAAACAGTCGTCCGGTGCCCCTGAAGATTGTAATGGAAAAAAAGATCGTTGCACAGTGTTTGGATGTAATAATGGTCGTCTTTTTCCCGAGAAATAGTACAGTGAAAGACCATATCAGTTTCTTCGGAGTGTCCACAATATTAATTGTTTCTTTTTTCTCTCGCTGTTTAGAATCAGTATCTGACATTTCCCGATCTTAGCCCTTCAGAAAGAGCGTGTGATGAGGATGACTGTCAACTGGTCTTCCATGTTTAAAATGATTTGAGCAAACTTTAGTATTGTTGTTCACCTTAAATCTCTTCCGCCTTAGTAGTCTCATCCAAGTAGTCAAGTCCCTTGGGTCCTTGCAAGAGCACAAACATCCCGAAGAAAGTGGTGTGGTCTTTCACCATATATTTCTCGAGAAAACGGCGACCATTATTACACCCAAACACAACAAAGCGATCTTTTTGCCTATTACAATCTTATTCTAGGGAAACTTTAAGAAAACTTGCCCCCAAAAGCGCGCGTTAACACTGAATGAGCATATCGGATCGCTCTTATGGCCCTGGGCATCCCATAATACTCCTTAAATCTAGTTAACAACAACAACAACATAAGCTTTATTTGCGTGACTATAATTATGTAGTTACAGTACTGCAAAATCTTTAACATAAAGTTACAATTTATGACAATTATAATGCAATGCAATGGATTACTAAAGTCAGTAAAGTGTCATCAGCATGATTTGATAACAAATTAGTACGTAAATCATTACATAATGCAGGGGGCACCCAACGGCAATTTTCGGGAAAAAATCTGTTCGGAAGACGATTTGAGATCTAGAATTTTCGGAGCATTTGTTGTAAAATTTCTTGCTTTCCTGCCTCTCCTAGGATTTTCGAACATCGACAAAATGGTATAATTACCCATTTTTAACGGATTTTGACCCTAAAAAAGGCCACCTGGAATTTTCGGGAGCCTTTTCCTGGCTGAAGTTTTCGAGAAGGTAAGTTTTTATCCCTATAATATTCGGATCACTAGACTTTCAGCTAGGAAATCCGAACAGATGAAAAGTTTTAAGGGGATAAAAATATGCCTATATCTACCGTTTGAATACTAAACTACGTTCAACAATGCTATTTTTAAGTGGTTTTGAACTATATCCTCGTTGGGTGCCCCTGATAATGAGACAAATTTCAATAAATGTGAATGTACGAAAAAAATTATGTGAACTCATCAATTTAATTATTAACTCTGTGTAAGATAGCTGATTCAATATGTCCGCCGTATCGGTAGAAAGGTCTAAGTGGCAGCTGGCAGTCCATTCAAAGATAAGACCGGATTAGTACAAATATACATAGTATGTTGCATTTTTTCAGTTTGTTGCTCCCACTTAAGATTATTTCACTCCTCTATGGTTTTGCGGAATAAAGGTTATGCAGTGACAAACACCAAGAAAACGACAGGAAAAGAACTGACGAGGGTTTTCAAAAAATAGAAAATGATAAGAGTTTCCTCTTGAATATTAAACTCAAGGGCACAACACTGTTTTTTTTTCTGCAAAAGTAAATTGAATTTACTACGACAATTTCGGTGAACGATAGTATTAAAATCTATTAAGGCAAGGTTTACTCTAGGAACATTTTAGTACCGGATTTGTTTTGCGGTGCACAAGCTGATCTGAGTTTTTTTTGCAAATTGTCCAAACTGATGCGAGAAAACACATGATCACCGTTCTCATTTATAAAGTTTATAGTTTTATAGTCTTGAAAACTATCGCTTTAAAATAAACTAAAGCTTTGATTGATTGATTGATTGAATTTCAAAATGATCTGTATAAACTGTAGTCTTTGGCAGTTTTGTGTAATGTCAACTGAAAGTAATTAAAATTCGCGTTATGTTGATAATTTCGACAAAGTCATTTCTCATTTTCTCACCACCGCTATGAAATTTTCTTTTTCTTCTTCCAACGAAATTCGTCTCCCTAGCTCTTTCTCTGTTGTCCACGTGAGTCTGAAAATCAAAAATAACGTCAAAAAGACACGACTTTGTTGTTGTTTCTTTTTCTCTCTAAAAGTACGGGCGGCCACGCGATTTTCTTCCGTTGCATTTGGGTTGCCATACCTGTTGTTTGAGTCATTTTATTTGGTTTGCCTGTGGTGTAGCCTCCCACGCAGGCGTTTTTAGGGGAGCTCGTTTTTCGAAAACGAGCTCCCCTAAAAACGCCTGCGTGGGAGGCTACCTGTATTGGGACGGACGGTCGCTCGGTGTACGGTCACGTGATTACCAAATTTTCTAGGATGGGTAGATTTACTTAGCTATGGGGCTCCGCACTCGCGCGCTTCTATTAGGTTTTCTAGTTAGCTCCCCATCCAGCTCAAGCCAGAGTGTCTGAGCAGGTGAAAAAAAAGACTGTTTTAGAAGTCTGTTCACGTGCTCTAAAGTTAAGACATTCTAGCGTCAGTGGCGGGGCGATCAAAAAACGTAGCCGTCCGCCATTACGAATAAGCTTGTCTCTCAGGCAGCACGATTGGCGATCGCCTTACAGGCATTGGGAATATTTACCCCAAAAATTTAATTTTGTAGCTTCGAAAATTAGATATTTCAGAAGGATTCATCAGTTGCGGAAGTCCATGATTGTTCTAACATTTATATATCATACGTGCATTTCAGTAAAATTTGACACTACTGCCAGCTACTGCGTTATGGTTTTTCTCTCTTGTTTTAGTTCCAAGCGGGATGGGAGAGATTTTTCATTTTAGATGTGTTTCACTTTGTAATTTTTCTTAAATGATAACTTAACTCCAGTCCCTCAAAAGGCAAATGGAAGGATCCTTAATTTCTTTGGCTCAGAGTTTATTGAGCTTCACGAGGTTCTGTGACACAAGTATTTCTACAGCTATAAGTGTATAGACGAATGCTTCGTTTTTAGGCCTGGCTAAATCTATATATTATTAGTGCTGAATAAGAGCTGCCAGGCTCGAATACCAGCCGCTTTGCGGGAAATGAGCCCGCTCACCTCCCCCGAACAGGACGGGGGCCATTTTCACAACCAGTTAGATGGTTAATGACGTGTTACTTACGTCATTGATGACGTTAACATGACGTCATAGCATTAAAGGGCGAATGTTGTCACACTTAACAGTTTATATTACATTTAAGGCTAAATGTTATTCTATTTAGGCCTTCTACATCATTATTTTCAATCACCATTAGTCTTTCCTAGTTTTTTTCGCATAAGCAAACAAGATCTGCCTGAGTCAATAATTGTTCTAGATTTTAGAATGCAGAATCTCTTTTTCCTTGTGTAAATTTGGATTAGTGCTATTTAAACTTATTGGGTGTCAAAAGAGCAAATTCGGTATTGTTAACAAATGAAGCCATCACGAGCAAAAATAGTAATATTTACTAGAAGTAATCAGGGATTAATAAGTGCATTCGAACATTGGTCATAGGAATTGAGGTTGGTGCAGGGTGTCTCTTTGAAGGTACTTGGCTCAGAGGCTAAAAGGAATAAAACAAAAGAAATGAATTATTCTTCCCTTAATCGATCTCAATGCGGTTTTTTCTTTATTTCAGCCTTGGATCCAAGGATGAATTTTAATAAATTTGAAACTGGCAAATTAAAACCCCATTTACGCCCGCTAAAGAAATCGGCACTGCACGCCAAATTTTTGGCACCGTGCCTCCTTTACCCGACCCCTAAAATTTTGAGCACTCAGGTGCCACATTACTTTTGGGACCGATACGTTTACACGTCGAAAATTGGGAATGCCGTGCCTTAAAATCGCCAGCACGGTGCCAAAAATTTGGCGTCCCGTGCCGATTTTTTTAGCGCGTGTAAATGGGGTTTAAGTAATGTAACAGGTAGTTGTGTTAAAGGGGCTGTGTCACGGTAGTCCAGTTCATTTTGTTTCAATTTGCCAATTACTCGCCCTCAATCGCTATGGAACTTTAATAAAGTAAGCAAAGAAATGACAAAATCAGAGATTCGAGACAAACAAATATGTCTCCTGAGCATTATTTTTGAATGAGTTGCAAACAGCAGAGATCAACTTTGAAAAACTATTAGGCTGAACAGTTTTCAAAAACCCTAATTTCAGTCTGTTTCAATTTTCTTCAGTTTTGCCCATCCGTGGCATCTGTTGTATCTGTTGTGTCATTTCAATTAACCTTCCTTTAATGTTTTAAGCGGTTATTTTTACGTTTCTCTCAATTTAGCGGGCATTTTGTAATAAACCTACAAAATTTTCAAAAAAGATTTCATGTACTTCCAAAAAATATTGAGTTTAAACTTACCGAGTAGAACAGACCTGACGACCAGCTGACTGACGAAGAAAATGAACAGCGCAGACATAGAATATAATAATAATTTGTGATGTAAATACTAATTTTGAATTACTTGTAACATTTTAGTGTGTAAAAAAATTAATTACTGTATAACGATAATAACAGTAGTTTTGGGAGTAACTGCAGAATACCCGGCCATTCTGAAGCTGTACCCCTATAATAGTAGGCACAGTCTATACATTATTCAGAATGGGAAACCTGTTCCAAAACTCGATTTCGTAGCCTTATTTGTAAAATTCAAAAAAATTTTAAAAACTGAATTCAACGGGCTTTAATCAGTATTCTGACCTCTGCTCCAACGTTTTCATTGAAACCTAATACCACAAAAAAGTGGGGTCGAATTAAACGCTACAATAAAAAAAAAACAAGATTAATGACCTTTAAAATCGAATTGATTCATATTATAGCTGAATGAAAGCTGCAGGGTTTTCAAACGTTTTGAGGCCGAGACACTTTTAAAACCCAACTATTATGAGTCGGACAAAGTTCGTCATAGTTCACTGCGCCATTTACAATTCATATTTTAGCGAATCGCAGGATTTACTGGTCAGAATGAATCATGAGAGTTCAAAGAATAATGTAAATATTGATAGTTCGGCGGCAATATCCTTCGTGAGGCACTTTCTGCTTGACTCCAAAAGCCAGCATGTTGTTGCTCGTCTTAGCGTTGACTCTCATTTCCAGCTTTCAGGAAACGAAGCAAGCTGTCCGTAATCCGTCGAATCTCGACATAAGTGGGTAAGTTGCGCCTCTGCACTTCCTTAGATGAAATTTATCATTGTGTGAAAAAATCTAGGAGAGCAATAAGCTGTGACAAAGTTAGCTTATGTACCAGCAGTTTTTTTAAAAACAGGGGTATATAACTACTCAAACTTTTCAACTTTTAAGATAAATACTATGGGTAGTGATGTTCATTCTTTACTAAGCTTTACTTACAGGACGGTATTTTTCAAGTTAGTTCTAGAGTCAGGACTTTTCTTTTACGCGTCCCAGAATATGTCATAAACAAAATTGGATAGACAAGACCATTGTGGATTCTTGGTATTTTAGCAAGGTGGAAACGGTTTTTCGACTCCCAGATGGCTTCAATCTTCAATCAAAGTCATTTCTTTTATTCCTTTTCATCCTCAATACCATGGTGTAAGCATGGATATTTCCAATATCAGTACGATACCGATAATCTATCCCAACAATCGGATATGAATTCTCTATATATGTAGCGACAATTTCTAGCAACTTTAGTGCCATTTTAACTTGATAATCTTGTCAGGACGAATCTAAATTTGTTTTGTTGTTTGAATCAATGCCAAATATACACTTGGTAAGTGATTAAAAATGTTAAACTTCTTGCCGACAGTTTCTCTGAGTAAAAAAAACATTTATATTTATTACTTGATATGGTCGTTCCATGACAATACTGACTTGATGGAAACCTATATATGAGATTAGTAGTCTGAGTTCACTTCCAGCCCTCTAGAAAGGCAATTTTCTTGTCATCTTTACACCTTTGGGTGGATTCATTTGCACGCGTATAGCTGTCACACTGTTTGCTCGCTGGAATGTTTTTGTTTTTTAAGCCTGAAAACAATAGAAAATTCCGACAGGCAAATGCGGCCATACGGTCATAGAAACTATATAAAAGTGTTTAAAATGACATAGTGCATGGAAACTGCAATAAGATTATAAAAAACTATGTAATACTTAAATACTAAGAAAAACTGAGTTAAATTGCGAAAGGGACTATAAACTTGCAAGGTCGAGCTCCTTGAGTCCACATTAACAAACTGAGGTGATTGTAAAAGATGAATATGGCACAAAACAAGGTTGATTTGAAATAGTTTTTCATTGGAAAATAATGGGTGCGCCATTCAACCAAAATTCAGACCGGTCCGACGGGGAAAAGTGGCCCACCTCAAAAGGTGGACCAGTTTTTCGAATTTTCCGGTTAGACCAAACCGATCCATTGAGTTTTGGACCGAAATTTCCGGAAAGTTTGGTTGAATCGGGATCGCGCCCAATGTTAAAGGGAAAAGTTACCAAGAGAACGTAAATGTTTCGTGCTCCATTGTTTGAGGAAAGGGAAAGAAGTTATGTAGTAGGTCTAGTAGCCTTTCCTTCTTCACCTAGAGAAAACAGAAATAGAGTTGAGCAGCCGACAAATTTGAAGGTTAATACGCGTCAATGAATTTCAAGCCGCGATCTTTAGCATATAATATGCAATATACTTGAACTATGCCTTGAGGGTTGATTTCCACTGACGCGTTTTTTGGCTACGAACGTCAACTGATGTAAATAAAATAGAGGCAAGTTATAAAGTGTTGAGATTAAACGTTTTGAGAGAGGTTCAACTTTTACGCTTCCGAGCCACCGTTCATGCATATTGCCTCTATTTTATTTGCGAACGTAAATTACGCACATACGCGCGTAAAAAATTACGCGACAATGGAAATCAACCCTGAGGGATGAAAAATAATTCAAACAATTAAGGAACTTCAAAAATCAGTCAGAGGTATACAATGTTGATGGTTCAAATAATCAGGAGTTTCGATTGTTTTTCTCGATAAAAAGTCAGTAACTGTAGTCGACATATCAAACATGGAAACAGTTTATGGTATTTTCATTATCTGATGATTTGAATACTCGCTGATAGTTGCCCAGGAGTAATGGCTAGACACAACACGCAAACATTTGAACACCTTAAACTTACACTTTGATTGGCTTAGAGCAGTGGTATTTCAACTTAATTTGAAATACCGACATGTGAAAATTACAAACCTTTTGCGTGTATTAGTATAAACAAATAATAGCATGATTTGTACGTGATATTTGGCATAAATAGCACTCGTGATTCAAAAAGTCTCAAATATTACGAGTGCTATTTATGCCAAATATCAGTACAAATCGTGCCATTTCCTGTGCAATGAATATGCCTATTAGTTGTATCCGTCTACAGATGATTTGTTTGGTAATACTTAGTTGAAAAACAGCATCATTTTTAGAAAGGGGTCAGAAAGGAAAATGTAATCATCATTGCTGGGGTCTCGTATACCAGTAAACAGGAAAAGCGGGCTTCACTTTCGAAAGAACAAAGCATGCACCAGCATGCCTCGGCACATTTCCGGGAAAAAGGGAAGATAATGAAATATTTTCTGTTTCTTTCGGGAGAATTAGTAGATCAGACTGAGAGCCACCTGGTGGGACACTGTTATTACTATTATTATTATTATTATTATTATTATTATTATTATTATTATTATCGTTGTTGTTGTTATTTTTATTAGTAGTAGTAGTAGTAGTAGTAGTAGTAGTATTGAAACAACAGTTTTTTTTAAGTGCATGGGAAAACAAGTCAAGATGGTCGTTAGGATGAATGTTTTTTTTTCTTTTTTTTAAAGCAAGGTTTATATTACGTTATTATTGTATTCGGCGCTAGGAGAGTGCACGCAGCCTAATCTTGGCCGTAGTATTTTACCAAACGGAGATATTTTTGCCTTTGATCGTTTGTGTACCTTTTTAGCGTCTTGCTTTCTCTATGCTTTTTGGCCGGTAATCTTGTACGTAAGAAGGAGGCAAAAATCGCTAATTCGATGCAGTCAATTAGTAAGGTAATAGCATGATTTGTAGTGATATTTGGCATAAATACCACAAGTGATATTTCGAAATTGTTTTACATAATAAATTTGAGACAATTTTTAAATATCACAAGTGGTATTTATGCCAAATATCACTGCAAATCATGCTATTATTTGTTTATACTACTACCCGCAAAGGTTTTGTAATTTTCACATGTAGGTATTTCAAATTAAGCTGAAATACCACTGCTCTAAGCCAATCAAATTGCAGAAATTTCTCATGTAGTAGTATAAACATATGAATGAATGAACTTTATTCAAGTGTCAGAGTATTGAGCTGGATATTAGTTAATTGCGGACACTAAAAGAACATTCCAAATACAAGATAAAAAATTAAAATAGGGATGCTACGAGTGTTAAAAATCTATTTCAAAACTTACAATCATTTTCAAGGCAGGGAAGGTTCATAATAAAAATCTAAAAATCTGCAAGGTGGTTTTCACGTTACGTCATCGCCGCCATGCTGGTGGACGGTGAACAAAAGATCGCTCATTAGCTCTTTTTGTTTGTCCACCAGCATTTGTTCATTTCACCGTTGTTATTTGTGTCTCCTGAGACTGCACGAAAACCACCTATTCACAAATTTAATATCGCTTAGTTCTAAGAAAAACTGATACTTAGATTATCCACGAATTATTTAGTTAAAAAGTGATAAAATTCCATTGCAAACGTGGTTAAGTGATACATAAGTTACAATTGGTGCACGTGCTCTCAATAAAAGAAGCCAAGTCTTTCTTTCTGATGTTCCATGTAAAATTGTCCAGCGAGAGTCGCTGTCGATTTCTTGAGGATAGTCTGGACCAAAGGTATGGGCCCAGGTACCTAAAAGAGTGTTTTGATATCTTGCTGTTGAATACCGAAGGATATCAAAATCTGCATTTCTTAGGGAGTACCCTTTGTTTGCAAAATTAAAAAGTTCACCTATGTAATCAGGGGCTAAAGCATTTCTAACTTGATACATTAAAATTACAATCTCTTGAAGCCTTCTATTGTAGAGAGAAGGCAACTTTGAGCGGCGTAGAAGATCTTGGTACGGTGACTGTCCTACAGTTGCAAATTGCTCTTAAAGCGCGTTCTTGCAGTCTCTCCAGCTTTCGCCACTCAGATTGCTTACAAAAATGACATAAAGTTTGGCAATACGTCAGATGAGGAAGAATTGCTGTTAGGTATAGTTGAAGCTTGGTCTTGCATGAGATTAGATTGCGTAGTCTTGCTTTTCCTACTCGCTTTCTTACACTGCACATTTCGCTTTGCTCAGTGAATCTGAACAGATCATCTATGTTACTTCCAAAAATTCTTAAATTAGCCGTTGGTTTGAGTTTTTGATTATCGATGTCAAGGGTACACTCATCCTTTGCTTTCTTGTCAATGTTTCGAGGCGTCATTGCTAAAACTTGGTACTTCATTTTCGGGGGTGGAAGCTGAATAATGAATAACGGGGTTTAAAAGAAAATAAATAATGAAATATTTGGAGTCAGAAAATCGGGAATTATGAATAACATCATCAAGTCTCGGAATAATGAATAACTCATAGCTGCTAAATTATCCTATAAAAATGGATGACGAAAAATCAATTTCAACTTTTCTGCCCATCGCAAACATTGGAATCCGCGCGAAACTTGTGAAATCCAAAGCGGCAAACCCCGAAATAGAACTCCTGAAAGCCAGCGTTCTTTCCCTACAGCCAAGCCAATCCCATACCACGTAATTGACAGCCTGCAAAGTTACCTGTCAATCACTTCAGATGTTTGACGTTTGGTTCCCCTTTTAGTTCGATGTGTCGTGTCTACAGTTTACGCCCAAAGTATTTTCATATATTAAATTGGATTCACTTTTCTAAATCTTCTTTTTGAACAATGGAAAAAAAGAAGTCAGAGAAGAAGAGAAATAGTCATCGACAGTAGGACAATTTGTTTTCCACCTAAGTTTCTTGGCCCACTCCGCCTGCCAGTATGACGTCACATAGTAACGGGCAAGAGCCTCGGGTCGATTGTGCAAATTACCAAGGGATACGACAGTTATTTGGACGAGCGGGGTCGAGGAAAAGCTAAGAAGCTAGCAGATATCGCTATATATCGCTTATTTGATCGAATGTGTGTGAGCTTTGGTGTTGGTATAATCTGCTTGTGTAAACCGTTGTGATAATTTGTGTCCGTGATTGTATAATTTAGTTAATTTGTTTCGCCGGCCGTGTTGCGGGATCGCCATCTATTTCACGGGACCGGCAAGGTCATCAAAACTTAAATCTTTTTTTGGTCTAAAATAGGCAAGGTCTAGTCTCCAGAATAGGAGGTTGCATTCACAGATCACGCATGTTTATATTTCATCTATTCTTTTGCTAATTAAATGGGCCTAACTTCATATCATTCCTTTCGAGTATGGGCCTCTGTTGATCTCCTAATTCTCCAACAAGTTCAGTAAAGCTAGTTCGAACGATTATTTTTCAACAACAACAACAACACATTTTATTGAAAATTGGAAAATAACTAATTACATTACTTTCCCACCCGCAAATAGCTTTTGAACTAATCGAGGCGGGGGGAGCTGGAGACATATTACAAAACAAGATTTATATATAGATGGACTAAATAGCAGTGAAGACACTACAATACAGTAAATAGAATTTAAACTAACATAAAACAAGGCATGTACATAACGATTACGAAAAGAGGCTAAACTAAAGTATTAAATAACTTAATAAGACGGGAGACTTCGACATAATCATCTTCTGACCGCAAAAAATTTAGTAATAATTCCTTTATTTTTTTACGAAAGGACGAACGTTTAAGTATTTTAATCGAATAAGGAATAGAGTTCCAAATTTGGGCACCGATTCTCGTGAAAAAGGCATACATTTTATCGGTTCTAGAGAACTTAACATAAAAAAGAGTCGCTAGAGACAGATCTTGTCCTGTAGTTATGAATCTGACTTGTTTTAAAGAACTGATTGAGTATACTAACTGGTGCTGTCTGTCTGTTGATATCATACAATAAATAGCTACAATCTCTGAAAAATAGGCTAGGCAGGGGAAGGCAATTTGATTTGAGAAAGAAGGGTACGGCGTGTTCCTTAGACTTTCTGAAGTAAATGAGACGTAAGGCCTGTTTTTGTAGAGTTACGATCTTTCTTTGAAATGTCAAGGCACAGTTTCCCCAACCACAAATACGTCAAGTAACGGACAATTAATGAGTTGTAAACTGAAAGTAAAACACGACGAGGGACATAAATGTCGAATCTTAGCTATAATTCCTATCGACTTGCTGATTTTGTGACAGATAGATTCGATGTGGTATTTCCATGAAAGATTTGAATCAATCATTAAGCCAAGATATTTTACATAATCTTTCATTTCAAGGTTTGCGTAGGTGTTAGTCACGGAGTCAAAAATCAAGTTCTAATCCTAGATGTGAAGGGCAAATTCTTTTGCCGGGGACGAAAGATTACAAAGTTTGATTTTTTTATGTTCAAGGACAGTTTGTTGGCCTTTAGCCATTCGTTGACATTGCCAAGCTCGCGATTAACAAGTGTTTCGAGTTCCTTTAGGTTGTTATTTGCAAGTATTATACTAGTATCGTCAGCAAATAGATAAAAGGCAAATAACGAAGACGACTTGTAAATATCATTGATGTACAGTAGGAATAAGAGTGGTCCGAGGACTGAGCCTTACGGCACGCCGAACAAGGTCGTTTCAGCCTCAGACACAACATTATTAACTTCCGTAGTTTGCTTCCGATCAGTCAGGTATGATCTGAACCAGGAGTTGATTACACCTCTAATACCATAATTTTCAAGTTTAGCTAACAAAATCTCATGGTTAACAGTATCAAAAGCCTTTTTGAGATCGATGAAAACACCGCACGAAAATTTACCGTTGTCCATATTTTGGAGAATTGTGTTAACAATATCAAGTACAGCGTGCTGAGTACTTTGCTTACTGCGAAAACCGTATTGCTGATCATAGAGAATGTTGCAATCTTTGACAAACTTGGTAACTCTGGAGTACATAAGTTTTTCAAAACTCCTGTTATAAATCGAGAGCAGAGAAATAGGTCGGTAGTTTTCGGGTAGAGTGTCATCTTCGTCCTTAAATATCGGGATAATCTTAGCACACTTTAGTTTAGATGGAAAAATCCCTGGGCAAATAGACGGATTAAAAATCGTGGCTAGAGGTACGGATATGACCCTTTTTGTCAATTTCAGCAGCTAACTGGAGATGAGTAGAGACCATGGGCCTTGTTGTCTTGCAAAATTGAAATTTCTAAATTGACATCTTCCGGAATAATAGGATCAAAGAAGAAAGTGCGATTAAGTGGCGGATCTAAATAATCATAGAATGTATTTATGGTCTGAGGAATTTTAGAAGCCAGTTTGCTCCCAACAGTGGCGAAATATTTGTTAAGAATATTGCTTATTTCCTTCGGGTCACTAGTTGGAACCTCATTCGGGTTCGAGCGAATAGAGTTAGTTGAGTGGCGCTTGTTTTTCTTTTTACAGTTTCCAATTAGCTCGTTAATTCCTTTCCAAGTTTGAAGCGCGCGCGTGGGCGGAGCCCCATTGCTAAGGAAATGTACCCATCCCAGAAAATTTGGTAACCACGTGACCGACCGACCGACCGTCCGTCCGCACCACAGGCATACCAATGTTTACTCTCACACTTTCTAGCTACTTTGGGAGCCCAGGAGAAAGCTGATTGCACATCAATGTTGTCATCAATTGACAGCTGTCAAAACAGGGTATCCGCCGACCACTATCACCTGACCGAATCGCGGGCTCAGGTTTCGACCCATCGAGGTCGAGTATTTTTTTGAAGTTATCCGCTGACAATCTACTCGTTTCCAAATGATCGCAGGCTCACGTTTACTTTTGTTTTAAATTCATATCAAATATGTTGTGTTTTTGTCAGTATCGCCCCGCACTATTACGATTTTGATTTCAAACTGACTTCAGACGCAAAAATTCAGCATTAAAATACAGGCGGGGAAGACCTTTTCTTACCATGGGCACGTGTTGGTCACGCTCCACGTCCAATTTTTATGCTCTGATTGGTTAAAATTTGACAGGTGAGTTCATGCGTAAAATTTATGCAGCATCTTGAAAGTTGTTTACTTTGACAGCTGAAGCTGACAGAGTTTTGAGTCAACTTGTGATGTTTTTAACTGTCTTTTTCCACTGGATGTACAAAGTGAAATACAGCTGCTATCAAGAGTGTTCTCTTATTCATGGCTGGTTTGTTTATTGGGTTTTTGGTTGAAAAATGCTTGTCAAAGCCGATAATCCGATTTCGGATGGCATCGTTTTTGTTTTTCACCTTGCTGGATGCGTACGAGAATTATAAAGGCTCAAGCGATCCTTGCCTTACTTGACAGCTTTCAGGAGCTGCATCTCGACATATGGTAAGCCTGAGTAATTATTGTATTTAAATCTAATTTCATGACGTCCAGCGGCGCAGTTTATGAAGCTAGTTTATGCACGTTTGTATTAAGATTTGACTGAGACACTGATCTGACCTCGTATGAGGTTTGATATAAGCTTAAGCTTACAGAACTTTACAGTCAAACCAGGTCAAGCGTTCCCGTCGCTAACGAACTAATGAATTCATTCACGGAAAAATGATTTCGTTTGTTGATTCAATAATCCATTCATAAAATGAACAATCCAATATTCATATTTAGCCTCGATTCCATAATCGAATGTTGATTCGATTACTGTTTTTTGAAAAACTACACTTTCCACAAGTTGACCTCAGAATTTTGTTTTTTCCTCTTTTTTTTCTGAGAGTCGAGTGCCGGCGAGTTCTGAAGTTCAAACCCAAACAAACTGTTACATGTACGCCAGTTTGCTGCCAGTAATCAGTGCAACAGACCCAGGCCTGACCTCTTAGAAAACACAACGGTCAAACTAAGGTCAGTGTATGTGCGGTGATTGGTGGATTTCGATCCTCGGCCTTTGTCAGTTTCTCATAGTTTCTTTGCGTTTGCGGTCTGTCTATTCTAGCTGTTATTTTGATTAAAGGCAATGAAAAACGCAATCGTAAACGGCAGGAAAAAGGAAGCAAATACGATTGAACACAACAGACAAGAATAAAGAACAGGTAGATTTTGCTCATAAACCAAATCGACATTTGATTATTGAATCGAGGTCCAATTTGACTGTTGGATTATTCATTTTATGAATGGATTATTGAATCAACAAACGAAATTATTTTTCCATTAATGAATTCATTAGTTTGTTAGCGACGGGAACGCTTGACCTGGTTTGACTGTAAAAAGCCTTTAGTCGATATTAATTCACCTTAAATAGAAAGAAAAAACTTTCCGAAGAATATTTAGTTATAATTTTGGCTGTAGAAAGAAAGCTTTGAACGATTTTCTTTTCGTGAGTTCATCTTTGAAAACAGCCAACACCGGGAAACCGGCGGCTTAAAACATAAACTTTAAGCTTACTAGTAAAGACTTGAGGATTCTTAGACACACTTAAATACTCATTTGTTTTCGTGAATGAAAATTGTTGTCTCTGTAAATGTTCTATCGAATTATTTTTCTTTATTGATTTTTGGTAGTCTCAAAAGTGTAATTTTCATCGCTTTGCCGTTTGTTTTCAGGCGTTCATAAACATCGCTCGCAGGAGTAATCAAAATGCCAAGCGTATCAAACGCTTTTTAAGATTACACATCGTTATAAAACCGTTAATAAAAAATAGACTCAGTAAATTCTTTATCACGTTGAAGCGTAACTCTTTTAAAATTTCTTCGCAAATTTGGCGCTTGTCAAAAGTTAGAACCGGCTGGCCATATAGGTGATTTTAGAGATTTTTTTAACAGTTTCGCTAATTAAAAGTCCACGCGTGCCTCTATGGTCCTGAATATTGAATGAATGCAATTTGTCTTGAAAAATTGTGAAATACTGCATTTTGTACGAGGTCTGTATGATAAAAACAGCGCCTCATAGTACTCTTTCTCCTCAGATGTGGTGTATAAAAAAAAATAAAAGATTGGTTTGCCCGCACCCAGATTTATTGGCAAGAATTTGTAAACTTGTCGAACGCAAAAAATTCGGTCTGATTTGTTTTCCAAGAATTTGTTTTACACGCCTTATCTACTGTGATCAAGAGCCATCATTGCTCTTAAATGTGACCGAAGACTATTTTTTGGGTGTACATATAGGGCTATATCAACTCGACACAAAATTTGTTTCACTCCAAAATCACTTAGCTTTTCCCTCAAAAGTCACATGAATGTGCCCTTACGTTAACTGATTTGTGGAATACAAAATTATTGTTTGATTTAAGTTATAAATTTATCAATAGGAGCTTCGCTTTTAGCTGTGGCTAAATATATATATTACATATGTTGAGATCAAAGAAACTTTGGTAGTAGTTCGCTTTACTTAATCTCGTAAGATAGATAATTTTATTTCTGTAAAATTTGTATTTGTCACGGTCTGAGGTATAGAAGAGGTTATTCTTTACCCTGATTGATTTTCTTAAACCCGCAGTCAGCCATGGTTTAGCAAGGAATTTTTGTTGACGATTGGATATACTTCTTAAAGGGGCGTGTTTGTTAATTGTCTTGTTGACGCATTTGTAAAACCTGGAGAACGATTGATTGGCATCGGTATGTTTGCAAATATCATTCCAATTAATATTCTGCAAGTCGTCAATGAAAGATTTTGCATTGAAAGTAGAATAGTCACGAACCTTAGTTTTGTTGTTTGGAAAGAATGGTTTACAGTGCGACGTTAATATGCACATCTGAGAGAAGTGATCTGTTGTATCGGACACGATATTGCCGCTGACTATATTATTCTCAGGATTATTTATGAAAATATTGTCAATTAAAGTTGCTGAACTTACCATAGACTCTAGTCGGCTTATCAACCACTGGGAACATTGAAAAACTTTGCATTGTTTGGAGCAAGGTTTGTGTGTAACTACAAGTTTCATATTTTAACATATCTATGTTGACGTCTCCCATGAGATAGATATTTGGATTTTGACGACATTGTCGTTCAAGAAAATCTGTCAAGTATTCTAGAAACTCATTAGCGTTATTGTGTTGCCCATAAGTAACACCAAATACAGATTTCTTATTGTTAGGCAGATGAAGTTCAATGCATAGGGCTTCATAGCAAGAATTGGAGACTCGTTCAAGGACGCGGTATTGACAATTTTATCTACACCGAGTCGAACGTTGAACCCAATAATGCGATGTAAAAGCTATTTCAAGAAAGGGTGCGGAAAAAGTGCACGCGACAATCCCGAAAGGTATTGTGGGTCATTTTGAGTGCAGAGTTTTTCCAAGAAATTTCAAAGAATGGCACGAGAAGCCATGGACGTATGTTTGCGAGTGTCAAAGGAAAGCAATAAAAGTAGATTCGAGAGCTACAGTGTCAGGAAAAGTGCATTGATCATATCCCATATTGCCTTTCGGGATTGCCGCGTGCACAGTTTTTCCGACAACCTTTCTCGAAATAGCTGTATTTGAATTCATGATAAATACAGCTCCATTAGCTTCAAACAGCGTCTACGGCAGAGAAAAATTGTTTTGATATAACAAAATTACTTTTCCAAATCATGTGTGTAACTGTGGTGCAGTGGTCAAGGAATTGCGTGCACCTGAAGAAGTCTTGCAGATAAACAGGGTTCCACTCTCGGCGACGCTGTTTTCTGTTTCTTTGTACTATTTTTTTTCTGTTTTTTTCTCTTTTTTTAACACTATTTTTCCTTTTGGCCTTTTTTTCTTTATTCTTTCTACTGACCCTGCTGGTCAAGCACTTGGATCAATATTGACATTTTGAGGTCAAGTCATGAGTTTTATTTTGGAAAAGGGATTTCAAAAGCTCTTGATCTGCATACTGGCCAAGCCTACGACCAGATAAAAACCATAAGCGGTCAAGACATGTCCCTCCTCTGAAACAGCTGAATTTTTTTCAATGTTAGTTGACATCACGACAAACAACACGCAGTACACCACAAACTGTACAAATTTGCATCTAACACCCACCAGTGACCCACTGGCGAAAGCTAAACTTGCCTTTTGTACAGCGTCTTAATCATCAATTACCCTAAAATCTCCACTGGGTTTGCCCCCCAAAAATAATTAAACGAAACCTTTTATTAGTTTTCGGGATTTAATTACAGAATTACAGGCGTATGCCCAATACAGTATTAAAATGCGGTAAAGCAACAAGATTCAATGCTCACAGTCTCTCACAAATACCTGTCATTTAGCTTCCTCTACGCTACAGCTAAGCGAACTTTGAGAGGAATGATATGGGGTTCCTCTAGCTCTGAACAGCTGAAAATACGCACAATGTAAAGTATAACACATCCTTTGATGAACCTCCTATTGCTGTGTCTAAACGCCTCAATCTTGTTGTGCACTGGCCCTTAAAAGTGTGACCGGTCGGTATGATTGCCCGTGCTCGCCATTTTGAAAGTCCCTGACGCGAGACGTGACGTCATACTGCCGGGCAAACTGTAGCATAGATTTCCTTTGAGACACCTCGCCCCCCCACCTGTTCTTTACAATAATCGCGTTCCTGGAAACTTGAAAAGTGACGTTTAGTGCACAATCGGAGTAGGTCAGTACAAACGTTCCGTTCTTTTAATCAGCTTATTAGTAATCATTTGAAAGATTTTATTCTCGATGATATTCAAACAATCAATATCTTACCATCTCGTCTTTATTATATGATTCGGTCCAGATCGCGATCACCGAAAAGGCGTCATCAAGATAAGAGTGCGAGCAGTCTCTTATCTTTCTTTTGGACACGGTAGAATGCGTGCTCGCGCGAGGGGCGAGCGGGGAATCCGCGAGAAACGAGGGATGACTGGTACATTTTTCGCACTGTATTGGTGTTTTGTGTTAGTATTTCTTTTACCTTCAGTATTATTCCATAATTCTGCTGGCGTCACTGGCCTATTTTTCCTTAAACACTGTACCTTATTACCGACAACCCTGGAGATGGGTAGCATAAATAACTGAATATATTTTACGTAAAATGTCCTGCGGAAAACGCTGGAAATGATATTTCCGAGACCCTAAATTAAAAAATTTTCTCGGGGAGCCCCCCAGATCCCCTTAGGTTAGGCCACCTTCGGCGCTACAACTTTTCTTCTCTGCGTGCGTACACCCTCTAAATCTCTCGCTACCTCGACCCTCAAACGTTCCTGTAAAACGGCTAAAACATTGTCGTGACAGTTATGTTTCCAGTCCCAAACTGCACTACCGTGGTATGTCACACGGCCTTCCCATCGGCTCTCATCAATTGTTAGCGAATATTTGACAGAGGCTCAAGATGAAACTAAAATAAAAGCCTATCCCCTAATAATTAAGATATTGGATTCTGTTCGTTACTTTAGTGATAGATGAAATAGTCTATAAAGTTGCAATATAAGAATCTTCCATTGTAATGTTCGATAATATTTGGACAATTTGGAAACTAATTAATGACTCAGCGTCAAGGTTGCCATGAAACGTAGACCTGCCAATAGCTGAACAAGTGAGTAACCTGGTAGGTGGTGCAGAAGTTAATATAGTAATCTAGTAAACAGAATTATAAAAATAACTCATGCACACAATTTGCATGTGAAGATGTTGGTCTTTGGCCCTTTTACAATTCGTACGTAAAAAAAAGACAAATTTTTTTACTACAAAATTTTCTCAAGCGATTTTAAGAAATCACCTCGGTTAAATCTCCGGGATATGCTAATTACCGGGTAAAGAGTAGTAGTGATACAATATAACATCAGAGCAACTCTTTGCTGGAGTTTCTGTGATGTTATAACCCGAGTAAGATAATTAAGTATTGCATCCTACACGATGAGCCGTGACGTTCACAGTTTCGGCTCTCACTGCTATCTCTGACGACAAGCCAATTATTAGCATATTCCGGATATTTCTTCGGAAAGTAATCGAGAGTTCTTTTTGATACAAATTTATATCTTTTGCTAGTTGTGCACGTGTATATGAAACTTGAAAACAATGCCAGTGAATAATTAGGACGCTCGCTTGTAAACACAAAATCTAGGGGGAAAATTGGCTATGTTTGAGGCCCTATTTGAAAGCCTTCCCTAGCTGTTTTCAATGTTCTTGCAACTTGTAGGGAATATTTCTTGACGATTGATCTCGAGATTGTCGAATTTACAAAAAATTTATCGAGCGGTTTTTGGAAAAATGCGAAATTATTAGGCATGGACCTAATTACGTCCAAAAACTGTATCAAAAGCAGCTGAATGCAAGTTAATAAAATTCTTCTTACTCGCGATCGCCCAGAGCAATTCCCCTCTTTTTTTGTATGCAGTTTTCAATGGAATCAAACCACTATGAGATGAAGCCGCGTTCCCAAAGCTTATCATTTTCTTAAAATATTAGCGAATTGTGCGGCTAGCATGCTATTTCACTGTGTTTATGATTCTTAAAACTGCATTTCAAAATATTTCGAAAACGCTCTCTTTCAAACTTTGCCATAATGGAGGCAATTATGGCAGGTACGTACTCCCTTAAACGATTTCCTCAAAAAACTCCTGGTACAGAGAAACACAAAGATAAATGAAAAACGTAATGGCGTCATTACGTTGCCATGGCGACTCCGATTGCAATAAAACCCAGATCATAAGAAATTTTCATCTTTATATAATACAGTTGTGGTAACGTTTTTTCCATATCTTTACTCTTGCCGACGTAATTAATGCTCAAACTTGAGAGGTATCAACTCCAAAAAATCCAGTCGAGCCACCTTAAGTTACGCATCTTTGCTAAATAAAATACGTTTCAGAAACTATAATACTTAGTATGCAGGAAGGATGTATCATGTTGTTCACTTATTATCCTTTTTTTTTGTTTTGCCAGAACGAAAAAGGTCTGTTGAACTTTGTAAGCGAGAGAATAATATTTTTAAAGCTTGTTTATAGGATCAACAATACTCGGTACAGCTTTCACAAAAATAAGCTGCCTTTTTAAACTTCTAAAACCACATTTTATAGGGCGCATACTTTCGAATTAAAGTCTATATCTAAATATCAATTATTGCTTCATTGGAAGAGCTTTGAAAAAGATGACCTTTTATACTCTACCCAGTTGTAGCAGGTGAAACAGAATACTGACGTGCGTTGTGCCGATAGCCGAATTAGGTCAGAAATGCCTTGAAGCAGCATCCATACTAAAATATGAACCCTTAAACAGCTGCATCACTGTACACAGCGTTTGAATCATGAAGATATTTAATGTAATTCTTCCAAACACCTGTAGCCGTAATAAAACACGAAAAAATTGTGAAGAATCAAGATGTCGGTCTCAAAGTGCCCTTGTTCGACTTTTACAGATGCAATGTTTAAATAGATGCCAAGATCTCATTGGTTCCTAAGCATCAACTCATAGAACCTTCAACCTTATTGGCTCTTGCAACAAACATCCCAACATACAAAGCCACAAAGATACATACACTCACACCACTGACATATGAGCTATTTTTTCAGAATAGCTCAAAAATAGAATAGCGCTTGCTAAAGATAAGATTGAATGTGCACTGAAATGTAAACTGTTTATAGCCAATGCGAATTGCATTGTAGAAAATTTCGGAGAGGAGAATTGATACAAACACTAAAAAGTGAATAATGAATATCACGGGAAATTTTGAAATGAATAATGAATAATTTGGAGAGAAAAGCAAAGAGTAATGAATAATCGTGATCCAATTATTCAGCTTCCATCCCCGATTCATTTCGGTTGGCATGGAGAAGATTTGCCTTATACCAATGTGATACATTTTCCGCTTCTTTTGTGAGTTCGGAGATAACAGCCGTGGTATTAGATCCACTTTGCCAGACGTAGTTAATCGATAAACCGATAATCGATAATTATTGATAGTAATCGATATCAATCATCGATGAATATCGATTTTCAATATCAATCGATAGAAATCGACAAAGAAAAAAGTTGTGACATCGTTCAACAATAACACGATGTTGTCCGCACGGCATTATTGAGTCATTCAGTCGTGATATTAAGCCCCGTCCAAACGGACGCAACATTGTTGGATGTTACATGTTGCGTCCCTTTGCACACCCTGTTGCATGTTGTTGGAGGTTGTCGCGTGTTGTTGCGCAAAGTTTGAAACCGGTCACACTTTTCAGCCAATAACTCCCAAGATTTCTTTTGCCAAAGCGTAGTGCAACAATGTTGGTTCCGTTTGCACAGCTCTTCCAACATTTTTGGTGCCACGCACGCTCATTACGCATGGTTTACAAAGACTTATAGGTTGTATTCTTCCCACGATGCACTGCAGGTCCCAACATTGTTGGGAGTTGTTGCATCCGTTTGCGCACCACTGCAAACACGCACGCAATAACTCCCAACATTGTTGGCGCAACAATGTTGGGAGTTGTTGCGTCCGTTCGCACGCAACCTTATGCAGTTCTTTTAACTGATAAAATACTAAAAGAACAAAACACTAACAAGAACAAATTGTTCTGCGTTTGAAAACTTTTAGCTTAAGCGCAGTTCATAATAAGGAAAGAAATATTATGCGAAAGTGGCAGAAAATAAGTCTCTGTGGCTGTAGCAATTTTGCGGTCCAAAGTCGAAAACTCGAACTCCGCGTATGTTACACAGTATCTTTATTCCATAAACATTCCAGGTTTCAAAAGACAAATAGATCCAGAGCCGAGTCAACAAAGTCAAGCTCAAGCAAATTCACGATGAAGTAGGTCCAAATATAAGTTCGAATATCCTACGCACAACGAGTTAGGTTTTCTAGAATCAAAATACATGCTACAATAAATAAGTTCAATGTTTAAAAGTTCGTAAGGAAAAGGCCGAAATACAAGTCAGAAAACTTACGGACTGTTTTTGAGTTCCACTCTACTAACTAAGGTTCCACGAGCACACTTCCAAAGGAATCTAACCTGAGAGCAGGCTCTATTTTCGTTTCGCTTTGAAAATTACATTCCGGCGGAAGAGAGAGAGCCTGATACAAACCTTTAACGGAATGTCTGCCGCCCACTTTTTTGATTGATTGACATTTGCCGAATCAGCCAATCAGAATTACTTTCCGTTGCTTGTTTTTCTAGTATGCAAATTTTTCAAGCGAAGGAAAAATGCACACAGGCTGACTTAAAAAATAGCTTTTATCTGTTAATTTTTTCAGCTAAAAATAAAACAGTCAGCACAATCACATTTAACTTCTTGCGAGATCTCGAAGGTTACTTCTGTTGGCGTAGAAGGTAAAACGTTTTCGAAAAGACGGCGACACGATGTCCTACTAGTTTTATTTTGGCTAGGCGCTCTGGAATTTAAAATACTGAAATCTCTATTTTTCGTTTTCTTGAGATTTTCCTCGGCAATTTCCCCCGATTTTCAGTACATAAATCTTTAAAAACAAAAGCAAACAGCCAACGAGCGAGGACACCAGTTTTCTTGGTTTATTTTTAACAAAAAGCGTAGTCAAACAACCAGTCTGTGAACACTGAAAATTCCCTGAACAGCGATGCGATATTTTTCGTCTAATACTTCACAGTTGGCGATTGAGGTTTCTTTCGCAGTGAGCCTCCGCTTGCGTGCCCCGTTCAGAGAAGTCATTCCCGGCTAAACTTTCAAATGAAACCAGTTTTAAGATGGACAGTATTTTGATCTGCACCCGTTTGTTGGTAAATCAAAATGCACCTTGTTAGCGGTCAACAATTTGCAGAGGGATTCAACTCCGCGATACACTCACTTTCCGTAAATAAAGCAAATCCTGAGAAGATAGGAACAACCACATGAATTTTCTGAATTTCCATGGCACACATTAAGGCATATTTTCCTACCATAAGACCATAAAACAATAAAAAAGACAGCAAAATCGATCCTTCTCTCCACCGACGACCGATCATTCACGAAAACAACCACGCGAGGAAGAAGCGCTTTCAAATTCCGGCGTTTCCGACAGCCAATCAGATATTGTGGCATTGTTCTAACAGCCAATCAGCGTTACGGCCAAAATCTGGCCCTAACGAGCACAAACTTGTAATAGTTTGTATCAGGCCCAATTTCAGCGGTAGCCGTTAGAGGGAATGTATGAGAACCGCTCAAATTGGGCCTGATCTCATGTTAAAGGAATCCGGTTTCAAAAACACGTGGTTACATTGCAGGCACGAAATACGTGCGCAGCGGTAGTAACAAGCAACTACGTAAATATGGAGCATAATAAAGAACAAATTCTGTGTTCTTATGATTTTAATACGTCGCATTAAGAAAGAACTACGTCTGGATTAAATGAACATATAAAAATCTATAATACAAACCAGGAAACTAAAGAACCAAAAAAAAACTGGAATCTGGTGAAGACTGCGCCTGGAGTACTTGCTGAAGCCATCAAAAATAAAATGTGTTAAGCAAAAGCCGGTCTCATGGGTGTTTCTTGCCAAATAGCGTCGTCATGTTCAGAATATTCACTTAAAAATCATTGCTTTTTTATCGATTACTATCGATTCCTATTGATTTTGATTATTATCGATTTTGTTAATCGATAATTATTGATAATTTTTTTTTCTGTGACCTCGATTTCTATCGATTTCGGATATCAATCGATTTTGAACGGAGGATTAAATCGATTAATACCGATGATATCGATTGATTTCCGAAATCGATTTTTATCGATTATGATCATCAGCATACGTGAACAAGTTACTGGTGTGTACGTTCAGAGATAAGTCTTAGTCAAGGACCATAGTAATGGACCGAGTGGTCAGCCGACTTTGCGGGCAACTCCTTAACTGATCTTTCCATGATATATATTTTTTAATTTAACGCAGTTTTTTCGCTCGATGAAGTAGGAACGCATTAGTTCTAAGGATATATCAGAGAATCCGTAGGCTTCAAGTTTCTTAATCATTAGCGCATGATGCAACTCTTCAAGTGCCTTGCCCATGTCCGTTGACAAAACCGCTACGCATTCCTTGTTATCTATCAGCTTTTCTCCAGTCCTCCATTACACGGATTAGGTTGTTCTCGCAGCTGTGCGTTTTCCTGTAAGCAGGCAATTTGTCATATAAATGGGTATCTATGCTCTCTGTGATTTGTTGGCTGAGTAGTGATTCGAACACTTTTGCTACTGTGTTCAGGACTGTTATTGGTCTGTAATTAGCATAATCAGCCATGTCCTCCTTTTTGAAAACTGGGGTCCAGACTCCCTCTTCCATTTTCTCGGCCACTGCCCACTTTGAATACAGGGCCGAGTTGTTCAAAGCCGGGTTAAGATAACCCAGGGCAGGAGTTGGTGCGAGATTTGAATTTCGATTTCAAAGCTTAAAAAGGATTTCAGTTTTAATTCTTTTTGTCTACAAGTTGATGATTGAAATCTCTAAATATAACAGAGAAAATTATCCGAGAAAATACTTTTGAAGACAAGAAAGAGAAACCCGGGTTAAACGACTGGGCCCAGGGCCCAGTTGTTTGAACGCCGGTCAGCGCTAACCCGGGGTTAAATTTTAACCCTGGTTTCTTTATCTTTTTATCTAAAGCACTTTCTCGGATAATTTTCTCTATTCTTTTTAGAATATCCAATCATCAAATTGCATAAAAAGAGAATTAAACTAAATTTGCTTTTTAATCTCTCATGTCTGAGTTCAAATTTCGGACTAACCCAGGGTTATTTTAACCCAGCTTTGAACAACCCGGCCCTGGTGTTTAAAAGATTTGCTAACGAAGGTGAAAGACTAAAGACCATTCTCTTCAGGGAATTGTGTTAAAAATTGCATCTTATCCCGTGGCTTTTTAGCTTCTTTAACTCGTTTTTGGCTGCACGAGATTCTACCTTGTTAAATTCAAAGTGAAGACTGTGATAAGAATGGCGAATTGCTTCCACGCTCACATGCTTGTTGAAGTCTTCTTCGCCGAGTTGAAGGACATGCTAACCTCCAATTTGGTTTGCCATTGTTGCGAAGTAATCTCAAAATACTTCCGCTATATTTCTTAGGTCGCTAATTATGCTGTCATTAATCCGTATGGAAATGTTTGTGGGATCGGTTACTTTTCGAACTTAGAAATAGGTTGAAGGTCTTATAGAAGTCTGTTGGTCTCTTTTTCAATCCACTGGACTTCTGTTCCTGATAGTTTTTAATAGCTTTTCTCTTCTCCCTTACAGCGATCTTTCTCCACTTCCGTTTTAGTTCCCAAGTTTTAGGTGAACGAAACCCGCGTGTACATTTGTGCATACTTTCTTTTCGTTTTGAAGGTCAAGTAATACGGGCAACATTTTCAACTTGTCGCGAGAAGGTTATCTTGATAAATAATTCATAAATAGATAGATAGATAGATAGATAGATAGATAGATAGATAGATAGATAGATAGATAGATAGATAGATAGATAAATAAATAGATAGATAGATATTCTGTTCATTTCACCCACTTGCACCAATAACTGAATTGTTGGGGAAGGTCATTGTCACATACTATTAACCATTTACATACACTCTATGAAATTATAAGTTACAATAAATGTAAAGTGTGACTGGCCGAGTAATGCTAATCGGCTAACTACTATTGAATGGTACTGAATGAATGACTGAGGACTGAGCTTACCTTTTTCAACTGACTGATGAACTGATCACGATTATCCTCCTAATAGTGATTGGACACTGCTTTAGGCAACGTGAAAAGGGATTTTAACGCGTCGCATCATGTTGAGGTTATATTAATTCTATATCTGAACCTGAGGCTTTTAATCAGTCTCTCCCAAGATCTGGAAAGCATCATTAAATATCGACTGATTATACTATTAACTTTTTTTCAGGCAGAACGTCTGCTCCAGGGGGACTAAACAGACACAGACATACTGGACGTTCGTACCAATCACAGTCTACACAACCATAACTAGAAGATGCGGTTTGTTCGGCTGGTGGAGATGTAAATCGTCACGGTAAGCAAGAAGTTTGCAACATTGAAGTAGTGCGGTATGGGCAACAACATACTAATAACAGGCATGGATCCACACCGGTTTCCACCGTTTTACGGAAATCGGTGACATTTTTCATAATATATTGTATTTTAATAATAAAAACACTTTCTATGGTAAAATTTGGCCAATATCCGATCTGAATGACTCGGAAACCCAGGAAAGGGGACTTAACGACTAAAAATCCAAATTACTTCCTGAGGGAGCACCCCCCCCCCCCCCCCCCGACCCCGCTAGAAGCTTGCGCCTTCGGCGCTCATTAGGAAATCGGTCATTATTTATTCTAGATCCGCGCCTGAATAAATACCTTATTAGCCGAGTTTTCGGTCCGTACTGTAAATCACGGACCGAGTTTTTTCCATCGATTTATGGCCCAAGCATGGACCGAAAAAACAAGGCTAATAAGATGTTTATTATATGGCTTCTTCCTCTTTGGGGGACCGGAAACAAGTGCAGGACGCACGATTTGACAGTCATTTGACAGGTGTCAAAAAAGAAAGTTTTTATTGGCGCACGAAAACAATAGCACATAACAAAGCCTTTCCAATAAAATATCATTATTATATGGCTGAGTCTGTTTTCGCCATGCGATTGGTCAATTTGCGGTCCGTAACTTGCTATACGGACCAAACTTTTTCAAGAAAATGCTCATTTCGGAGGTCTAAATCTCTTAACCTCGGAAAAATGTTTAAATAAAGTTCTAAGACGACTGTCAACCGTTGAGGACTTGGATGTTGACTTTGGCCTTCAACATTTTATACTGTGTTTATTTGTGAACGAAGGCGATGAAGAAACTAACTCGTAATCTTATCGAAGAGGATTCTAGTCAGTGTTTGAAAATTTTATCATAGTACACAGTTAAGCTGACGAAAATCGACTGGCAGAGATTCGAGATGTTCTGCCTAAGAGAAAATGAGTAATTCCTTCAAAATATATGGTAACAAAAATACCTGCACCCGATCATCTTGACAAGCTTCTTTGCCATTTGCAGTGTTTTTTCAACGACCAACGAAAGAAAGATAGAAGCGAGTTCGAGCCAGACACAATAATGTCCAGTTTTCAAAAGACTCCAGCGTCACATTACTCAGTGAATACTTACAGTGCTCTTAGTTCCACCGAATAAAGTTTGAAATATGTATTTAAACCCTGTGGACTGGGATGTTGAATTTGCCTTTCCAAATATTAACCTAGCTTTGTTATAATGAGAACGAAGCTGTTATAGAAACTGAATCGTAACCTTACAGTGGAAGAGAATTCTAGTCAGTGTTTGAACATTTGAACGCAGATCACAACTGACGACGAGAATGACCTGGCAGAAAGAGAGGTTTTCGCAAAAACAATTAACCAGCGAATCCTTCGACAATGACAACAAACTCACCTTGAAAAGCTTCTTTGCGTTTTGCAGTGTTTTTTCACAAGGACAAACGGAGGAAAGATGGAAAAGACTTCTAGACAGACACAGTGTCCGGTTTCCAAAATACTCCAGCGTTACATTAAAGAACTAAAACTTACAGTGCTCTTAGTTTTGACCGAATAAATAACAATTATTCACCGAAGTGGAGGTGGGTAGTATTGGATATTTGCCGAGGCCGCGAAGCGGCGAGGAAAATTTCCACTACTAGCCACCGACACAGAGGTGAATAATTGTTTTAGTATATAGTATATACTAAAACAGTGAGATAATTGAGCACGAAATGATGATTTTTAACTCATTTACTGTTGCCAACGATTACAATTTTGGCACGCGATGACCGAACGGCCACGGTCGTCGCTTTTTCTTAGCGACAAATAAAACTTTTGAAGGCGTTTGTTTAGCTCTTGCGGGGAAGTTTCTTCAAAAGGAGTTGTGAATTCTTTTTGTACTTAAAATAATTCTGTAAAAAAGATTATTAAATGTAGTTTTAAGCTTATTTATGAACAAGTCAACTAAATAAAGTAACCCGGCAAGACTTAAGCTTAATTTGCATTTGTAAACAAAAAACTTTTTCACCGGTTTTATCGATAAATTCAAGTCAAAAAGACAAAAAGCTTTACCTGTTAAAACTTCCAAACTGAACTTCGTCACCTTCTTCATGTATTTCGGAAATAGCTTGCTTGATTAGTTGTGAAATTTCTTGGTTTGTTACGGCAGCAAACAGGGAGGGCATTTTGCTCTCAACCTACGCGAGTTTGGCGTCGCTCGCTCGGAGGAATTGGAGGTGAATCAGTGAATAGTGCAGGATATTCACTGATTGAGTAGCCAATCAGAGCGCGCGAAAAACACTATCCACTGTTTTAGTATATACTAAACTTTTTTAACACGGCGAATTTGTTTTTACTTTCTCGGAAAGCCTTTGTGATATGCTGTTGTTTTCGTGCGCCAATAAAAGCTTTCTTTATAACATAGCGCTCGTGCTTGTCCTATACAAGTCCTATTGAGCCGCAATGAACAAAATCTTTATTTACGCACGCCCGTGCGTAAATAAGATGACGTGTTCAGCTGTGTTTTTCGTCCCTTTTCCTAAGTACCCAAAAATCGACGGCAATGATAAAAAACTTTCTAGACTTTTTTTGGAATTTAGCTTCCTTCTAGCCACTCAAAGCAACAGCAAAAGCAGTGACATGTTTCGCAAATAATAGAGCCTGCATGATTCGTTGAAACTTGAAAGCCTGCCGTAAAGACTTACATTTACTTGGGAAAAGGCCACAAATTGGTCTGTGTCGGAAAATATCCAATTTGTACAAAGTGCCCTCCGTTTTTAACGTTTGTTTTATATCCTACAAAACAAGTTAATTAAAAAGTAAGCTCATCAGCAAAAAATTATACACTTTTGTTATCGCCGAACAATCCGACTGAAGCTGGAAAATTTCTCTTGCAATAACAAGACAAATTACACAAGACATGAATTTATTTCTCACAAAAACAACTGCTGCCGCGTCTTCTCAAGAAGCCGTAATGACCAGCCATTGTTCGTAAATAAATATAAGGTTAACGTAGGATGACAGTCGTCTTCGCTGAAAAACAAGTTTTCTGGATTTCGCCGAGCAAACATAAACATCTTTCAACCAAATCCAAACCGTACTCCACGACTTCTTACGAACATGTGAGTATTTTCACTTTAGGCGGACTTTAAGACTCTTTTTCCTTTGTTTCTTTTAAGTTTTCATTGATAGTTAACGAATAAATAAGCAAATTTTCTTTCCCAGTTTTACACACAGAATTTTCATTCAAACTTAACCATTGTGGCGTGTTTGTAATCAGCCAATAGAAGCGTTTGTTATTGTGTCCCGCGTTACGAGAATTTTGTAGTTAATCGAGAAGCAAGCATTTTGACAGCTATGTTATAAAAGAATTTGCTCATGCTTTTAGCTGCGCGTATATCGAGTTATGGATGCACTTGGGAAGTTTGGAGAGCACTCAAGAAGCTAGAGTTGCACTCGGCTATGGCCTCGTGGAACTCTTACGCATCTTTCATGCTCTCCAAACTTCCCGCGTGCATCCATAACTCGATATACGCACGCTAAGCATGAACAAATTCTTAATTTTTGACACCTGTCAAATGACTGTCAAATCGTGCGTCCTGAACTTGTTTCCGGTCCCCCAAACAGGAAGAAGCCATATAATAAACATCTTATTAGTCTCGTATTTTCGGTCCGTACTGTAAATTACGGATCCTCGTTTTTTTCCATCGATTTATGGCCCGCGCGCGAAAAAAACTCGGTCCGTAATTTACAGTACGGACCGAAAACTCGGCTAATAAGAGGAATATACAGAAAATTATAAGATGAAGTGTGCAGTCTCAACTAAAAAGAAATTCTCGTTGTCTTTTTTCACTTTAACTTTTACCACCTTACCTATCTGCTGACACTGCATGTGCCGATGCATAGTGTCGACCCACGACTGCTCAGGTAATCACTTTTGGGCGTAACAATGCACTTTTGATTAAGGTACTTTATGTCACCCACTTAAGACCCGTTTATGGTTGACAGCCATTGAATCCAAGGCGAAAGGAGATACAGGAATTCGTCATCTTACACTCTTCCAGTTATGCTCCAAGACAGAGGACGAAAATGGGGTACGCTGATTTTTAGTCACACAATATCAGATATACGCCCCAAATCTTAATTTCATGTGCCACGTATAAGGTCAAATTAGGGCAAACACACTTTTAACCAAAATCTTGGAAGAGATTCCTACTAGCATGAAAACAATCAGCTACTACCAGTTCAAAAAACAATTACACACGAATTCTGCTGCACTCTTAAAGTTAACTACAGACAAACGACTGTTTCACATATTTGCTATGACACCTATCGCGCATAATAAGTAATCCCATTCATAATACAGCGGTGTTTAGCACGAAAGCCAAGCTCCTCTGACCACCGTACAATTCTATCAAAGCCATTCATTTCTTTTTTATTTTTTTTTATTTTTTCTCTTATTTGTTATTTCATTCCTACGTTACTATATAAAGGGTAAATATTATATATAAGTAGGAATAAACTGAACAGAACTGGATTGAACTCCCATAGGGTGTAGTTGCTCTCACATACGAAACACTCGTTATATCTTATTTCATAATTTTGTTTTATCTTGGAATGGATTCCGTTTAAAATTATATTTAGATTGTTTTCCTTGAACTAAATAGGCACTCTAAGGTAGTACATGAATTAAACAGCGGTCAATAGGCCACCTCGGAATTCCAAAAACCCTCAGTTTCAAAATGGGGCCAAGTGCACAACCTTTGTTGTGAAAATGAGTTTCATTTGCATCAGAACGAAAAAGCAGTTCCATATCAAAGGCTGAACACTTAACTTCGTTTTGATACAGAGGCCCAGGGAAACTCGGAAATGGCCTATTCAATGTTTGCTTTTTAAATTCCATTTCCGGGGCTCAAATCCCGCCCTAACCCCCAGGGGATATTTTAATTTGTTCGCGGTACGTTTATCGGTATAGTAGTGCCGACTTCATTTCCTAACACTCGCTTGTAAACAGCTTACGTTTTTGCTTCCTGCCAGATGGATTTCGTAACCTTGCTATGCTTATTTGACTCCTTTCAGTTATTTACTCGGTCCAGCCAGCCTTTGTATTATGAATACTACCGAGGATTATTACCCCTTCTACGGTTTTGATTTTGTATCGGTAACAGTTGTTTTAACCTCGTTCTGTTCCTTGTGTTCCTTGAAAGACCAAAAACAGTCTACCGCTATGTTCAGAGAACAAGAAGCATCTCGTTGACAGTCATTCATTGCTGTAGTGGATGGCACAAGGCTAACTCCAGTTCGAGAGAATGTGGACAAGGTACATTCCAGAGACTCTTGCTAGTAGTGGGGGAGGGACCGAATTAACCTTTTTTTGCGGATTGAATTAACTTTTTGAGCGGTATAAATTAACACAGATGACGTCATGCATCTCATTAAGATAGGATGATGTCATAGTTTAAATTAATGCCGGTGACGTCATGCATGTCATATAGATAGGATGATGTCATAGTAGCTGGCAAGGAGCAAGTGACGTCAGAACTTCCTGGAGTTGACGTCATCAAAAAATGTTGGGATCATAATCTATAAACAGAAAAGTGATTTTTATATAATAAGCTATTTGCTATAGTGTTCTGATTAGATATTGTTTGCTATAGTCTTCTGATTGGATATTGTAGAAACTGTCATGTGTTCAAAATAAAAGCGGGCAAATTTTGAACGTGTCATCTTTGCAGATTATACTAAATGAAAAATCTTTAATCATTAAATTATTTTCGCTAAAAATCGGTTAGCGACAAAACCAAGACACAGAGGTTAACTGAAAAATCTTTACTTCAAAAGAAGGGAAAAGGAGGTTAAGCGAAAGCGAAATCGTATTAATTTTTCGGGCAAAACATGAAAACGAGGTCGAAGCTCAGGGAAGCGAAAAACTGTCTATCAAGCAGAAATGTCAGTCTTTGTTTACTTGACTCTGTAGAAAGTATTGCACAGGGTATAAAAATTGTATAGAAAACAACAAGTGGTTCTAAAGTAAACCCTAACTCTTTTGGTTCTTGAATAAACTCCATTCTAGCAACTAATATGTGGAACGTCTGTTAAGAAAAAGATAGGAATAATAGGTGCGATCGCTTAGCAACACATGTCTTCTTCTTTAGCGCTAAAAATCGGATATATAAACAAAACACACACACACATTCACAAAGTGGAGCTGAAAACTCTCTATTTCAATTATGACTCACATTACAAAAGTGTTTTCTCCGTTCCATCTCGAGGAAACGACTAACTATTGAAGTCTCAGCGCTTGATGAGCTTATGGTCTTGTCAATTCACGCGCCGTTAGTCAGTTAATTATGCGAGGTCACAAGCCCAAAGTTGAATACAAATTAGTTGGTCTCTACAGCTAGACCCAAGGGAGGACCTTGACGTATTATTATTTAAACAATTTTAAATAACTCAACAAGGATCAATTTGAACACGCGACTAATAATTGCTAGCGATAAAAACACAAGAGAGATACCGTTTTAAAAACTTTATTAAAAGTCAAGAACAAAAAGAATCAAATACACAGCAATTTGAAAGGAAAAGGAATGAAAATTAATCCTTTGACTGACTATTACAAATCAGTTTTTTCCTTTCTATTTCGAGGAATAATAAATAATACTTCGGTGTCAACATGGTTTACAAGAGAGTTTGCAGAAACTGTCCTATTTCATCGTGTGGGGCGAAGTATCTTGTCAGATTAGCTAACCATCTCGCGGATGTTCATCAGTCAGACCACATACAGCGAAGACAGTATTTACAAGAGGCGAAACTGCAACCTAAAGTTAAAGTCGTCGTTTACGAAAGTGAAGCGGATAATTCCGGAAAAAATCACTCAACTAGTACTCGCAACCAGTACAGACACAAGAAACGGTGTACGAACTGTCAAGATCATGAAGAAATGAAGCCTCTTTTGAAGCAAAAGCTAAAAGACCGACTACCAAGAACAAGACAAAGCGCAAGAAACAAAGAAAGTCGAACTCTTGGCTTCGAGGCCATAGGAAAATTGTGTAGACACGGAAGGATTATTAATTCATTATTCCTCGAAATAGGAGGGAAAAACTGATTTGTAACAGTCAGTCAAAGGATTAATTTTCATTCCTTTTCCTTTCAAATTGCTGTGTATTTGATTCTTTTTGTTATTGACTTTTAATAAAGTTTTTAAAACGGTATCTCTCTTATGGTTTTATTGCCAGCAATTATTAGTCGCGTGTTCAAATTGATCCTTGTTAAGTTATTTAAAATTGTTTATATAATAATACGTCAAGGTGCTCCCTTGGGTCTAGCTGTAGAGATCAACTAATTTGTATTCAACTTTGGGCTTGTGACCTCGCATAATTAAGACTCTGTTTACATGGAGTGGGGGACCCCGGTCTAGTGGGGTTGGTTTCTTTTGTTTTCACGCTCTGGGGGACACAAAACAAAAGAAACCTACCCCACTAAACCGGGGTCCCCCACTCCATGTAAACAGGGTCTAACTGACTAACGGGGCGTGAATTGACAAGACCATAAGCTCATCAAGCGCTGAGACTTCAATAGTTAGTCGTTTCCCCGAGATGGAACGGAGAAAACGCTTTTGTAATGGTGAGTCATAATTGAAATAGAGAGTTTTCAGCTCCACTGTGTGTATGTGTGTGTGTGTATTTTGTTTATATATCGGATTTTTAGCGCTAAATAAGAAGACATGTGTTGCTAAACGATCGCACCCATTATTCCTATCTTTTTCTTAACAGACGTTCCACATATTAGTTACTAGAATGGAGTTTATTCAAGAACCAAAAGAGTTAGGGTTTACTTTAGAACCACTTGTTGTTTTCTATACAATTTTTATACCCTGTGCAATACTTTCTACAGAGTCAAGTAAACAAAGACTGACATTTTTGCTTGATAGACAGTTTTTCGCTTCCCTGAGCTTCGACCTCGTTTTCATGTTTTGCCCGAAAAATTAATACGATTTCGCTTTCGCTTAACCTCCTTTTCCCTTCTTTTGAAGTAAAGATTTTTCAGTTAACCTCTGTGTCTTGGTTTTGTTTCTAACCGTTTTTTAATGAAAATAATTTAATGATTAAAGATTTTTCATTTAGTATAATCTGCAAAGATGACACGTTCAAAATTTGCCCGCTTTTACTTTGAACACATGACAGTTTCTACAATATCCGATCAGAAGACTATAGCAAACAATATCTAATAAGAAGACTATAGCAAATAGCTAATTATATAAAAATCACTTTTCTGTTTATAGCTTATGATGTCAACATTTTTGATGACGTCAGGAGCCCATCAAATGGAGCCTCCATCTCCCATACAAGCCCTTGGAGTCAACCCTTTCCCGAGTAGATTTATAATTAGAACGCTTCCCAGGGGAGACATCGTGCACCGACGGTGGGAAGAGCCAATCACAACGACGAAATGACGCTGCTATTGTACTTCATCAAACAGCAGGAAATTCGTGTGCTGACAGGACAAACACAATCATAAGCTAGTAAAACGCGACTTTAGCGTTTTCATCCCTCAGAGATTTTCTTTCTTTTCTTTCCAGTGGGTAGATAATACTGTGGAGAGTTTTACACTCTGACTATGTTAATCTTAATTTTGGTTGCTTGTCTCACATTAAGAGGCCATGAAGCTGGTCTGTTACATGCATAATGATTAACTACTACCTGCAGTCTGTAGTTCTGACAGGACTCGTTTTCTTTAGCCACTTTTTTTGAGCGTTAAGGTTCTTATTTCGGCTAAATGACTCAATATTAATCAAATTTCTAGTTTTTCTAGGCTTTTTTTCCGAAATGCGTTTATCTGAATAAATACTTGTAGTCCTTGTGGTTGTTTTGTCCGTCAGCTAGTGTGATGATTCCCTGCTATGTTTTGTAACGCCGGGCCCAGCAATTGTTGTCTCGCAAAAAAGTGATCTACAGATACGAATTCGAAGGAAAGAATTGAGCCTAAACTTCTACATTAACTGCTGAGAATTGTCCTGTTAGTCAGTCATGATTCTTTTGGCTCAGATACAATCCATTTTGTTTTTCTTGAGATAAGTGGGTCTTTGGACTGGAGCGCGATGTCACAAATTCCTCCGTTAGCAAATTATTCACGGTCGAGCAACTTTTGTCTTCGGTTCAACTTTTCAAGAGCCAGTTTTATCAAGCAACTCTCACGGTGATACAAGTCAGTTATAAAGGAAGACTTCAATTTCTCAAATTTCGGAACTGAAGCATTCCTAGTTAGTTCCTACTTAGGTCATCGCTTTTACACGCGATGCTTAACTGGCGAAATCCACTCCACGGTGATGACAAAAATCAAATGATCCTGACACTTTTTCGGCGCTGATCAACGAAAAGTTCCAAATCGTCCACAGAACGCTTAATCGTCGACTCTTTTCAAGGTGCATGCTTAAATGTGGGATGTATGGCGGCAAAAAAAAAAAACACTCGCAAAGATAAATAGCCAACTGGTTGCCTTCTGCCAGTTGGGGTTTTTAATCCTGTTATGTTGTATTTAAATTATTTGTTTCTAAATATTTGAGTGGAGTGCCTGTAAATTAGCTGACTAGCTACGTGCACCTTCCACTATAAACATGTCTTTAACCTTTCCGTGATCCTCAGTTCGCTGCCTTTGTCCCATCGCCTCATGCTCAGTCTCAGTCGGGTAATTCATTAACTTTTATTTCATGATACCCCAGATCCCCGCGGCTGTAAATTGTAAAAATGGACGTATAGTAAAAAAGGAAAACGGTCGAAGGATGGGCTTCTGAGTTCGACTTCATCCAACTTCATTTTTTTCACGTTGACATACGAGACTCACAGAAATATGACACTTTTCGTGGGAAACAAGCCGTTCTATTTATAAATCTACTCGGGAAAGGGTTGACTCAAGAAATTAATAGAGATGGAGGCTCCATTTGATGGGCTCCTGATGACGTCAACTCCAGGAAATTCTGACGTCACTTGCTCCTTGCCAGCTACAAATAAACTATGACATCATCCTATCTATATGACATGCGTGACGTCACCGGCATTAATTTAAATTATGACATCATCCTATCTTCTTGGAATGCATGACGTCATCGGCAGTAATTTAAACTATGACATCATCCTATCTTAATGAGATGCAAGACGTCATCTGCGTTAATTTATACCGCTCAAAAAGTTAATTCAATCCGCAAAAAAAGGTTAATTCGGTCCCTCCCCCACTGCCCTTGCGAGAATAGGGACCCTAGTCAACTGAGCTGATTTTGAGCGAAGCACGTCAGCGGGAAGGGGACGTTTTGTTTTTTGGGCAGTGGTTTTGCCAAATTTTCAGGCAAATCGCCTTAATGTTTGTAAGAGCCGGACACTTATCTTCAAGGCATTTTGAAAAGGTACAGGACTCACTTCCGGTCGTAACCTCCGATGAGCCGTTCTTTTTTCGGGGAAAGGGCGTAAATCGGCGGACGGAAAAGAGGAGGAAAACTTTCCTTTTCGCCTCCCATACAAAAAGGGAAGAAGGAAAGCCGGATCGCAGGTTATTCCTGTTGACGTGCGTCGCTCAAAAACGCCTTTGCTCGTTTGGAATCGTTTGTTTGGCTCATGTTTTGCGAACGCGACGGTGCACAACGTTCAATAGCATTCCTTCCTATTATTTTGATCTTTCTGACCAATAAAAACTCCTCCATAATTTATTCCGTCGTAATCTGTGAACAAAAGAACAAAGGACAGTGTACCGTCAGGGAGTTCCAAATGATAAATTCACAGCTGCACTGTTGTTTTTATGAGCTTGGATGTTTGCCGTCTTTCGCAACACCAGACCTCCTATTAGTAACTAATGTATGCTCTGATTATTAGTTCCCTATAATCACGTTAACCACTCTATATGAAAGCACCAAATTCTCCAAATTTAATGATGATAATCTTTGTTGAGGATGCCAGCTTTAGTTAAACTAGTGATTTACAGGAGGGTCCTCTTAGACTAGAACGACTAACGAAAATAATTATTATTATATATTATTATTTAGAAGTTAAAAGTTTAAAAAATTACATGATAAAAGTTTAAAAACATGGTACAAGTTCTGAAAAATGAGATGTACATCAATAAATTAAAACTAAGAGTCTAAAAACATACATTTAATGACATACAAATAATAACATACAAGTAAGTAGATTTACTTATTAACAGGTGCTTTAAAATTTCCCAGCATTATGTTTTCTATAAACGAATAGTGTAACGTCTACAGAAACTGAGGTGTTGCATTGGTCGGGGAGTGAAACAAAAAATTTTTTTTATCAATTAAGTCGATAAAGTCAATTTACGTCTTAAAAAGGATGGAAATTTGACGTTTCAAATGTACGCCGTTAGTCAGAGCAAAATATTTGACAGAGGGTAAGAGCTCAATGTAACCCCCGGGGAGAGCCTACCTTCAAATGTAAGGTACATACAGGAATATGTGCCGCGGGATGGGGTATGGTCTATCAGTAAAATCCAACTAGTAGTCTACTATCAACGTTGCGTTCTGATTGGTTGAGCTACTACTAAGCTAAATGTTATAACCCACTAGTAGCGAAAAGTGCCGGCTTTGAAAATCAAAACAATGGCGGCTAAATCGCGTTTTGCTAACTAAAATTGTTTTGTCTCGATATGTTTGACCAACTAGTTGGATTTTACTAACACAATTATTCCTCTCGCCCTCATGGCCTCAGAGTCAATAGCCCATTCGGGCTCGAGGACATAATTGTTAATTAGTTACTCAGTGCTTAAGTTTAATTTAGAGATCCTGTTATGTTGTAATTAAGAATTTTTTCATGCTTAGCGTGCGTATATCGGACGAGTTTGGAGAGCACGAAAGATGCGTAAGAGTTGCACGAGGCAATAGCCGAGTTATCGCCTCGTGCAGCTCTAGCTTCTTGAGTGCTCCCCAAACTTCCCAAGTGCATCAATAACTCGATATACGCACTTCTAACCATCCATTTTTCAGCTGCAATGAAAACCCTTGTATTTGGTAATTTATTCAAGCTTTTTAGACTTGCCATCTCATTCACACGGGAAGTTTAACACTTGGGAATAAAGATGATCAAAAGACAAATATGACAATCGTCTTATTCTTCTCATTATCCGCAACAGCAAACTGCCTGTGCGAATGTGATGGTAAGTCTTAAAAGCGTGAATAAATTACCAAATGCAAGGGTTTTCAAGATTGCAGCTGAAAAATAGATGGCTCGAAGTACTGGGGTTGGTGGCCTTATTTCTCTTCAAAACGGCAACCTGCGACGCTAAAAACTCTTGAGAGTTTTTCGTAGACGCTATATTCTGCTTTGTTAAGATTTGTTTCCAAAAGAGAGGGACAAATACAAAGGAAGTTTGATGAACAGAAGTTCTTTAATATCACCGCGCACTCAGCTTAAAATTTTTCTTCTTAAAGTGCTAACTGTATTCGCCGTAAATTTCTGATTACTCTGTTTCTTGCAATAAAGCTTTAGGTAGGAATGTCCTTTCAGATAGGAGATAGTCTGTCGGCACTCTTCCTCTATTTTACGTCAACTTTCACAAATGTGTTAGCGTAGCATTTTAAGGTTAAATTTGACCAGCATTTTGTGCAGAGAGTTCTACGGTCACGATTGCTTTCAAATTTGCAGATGTAAAACAAGAGAGCTCCGAGGCTTATTTGCTGGAGTTAGGGAAAAAATCTGTCGTGGGATTTCGAAGTTATTTATATTTTTCGTAAAACTGCGGTTTTAAATATATGCTGATATGTCAAAGGTTTTATACCCACAGGAAAATAAATAACATTTTCTTGAAGTTCCATTATTTACGGTGGCCCATAAGGGACATCTCGATATTTTTCATTTCCACTTAATAATTTGCGATTTGACTTACTCTCGATCAAAGTTTATAAATAGCAATACAAACTTATATCTCTCGATTTGGACTTAAAACTCGCGATGGTATGTTATAACTCTCGATCGCAGCTTATAACCCGCGACCGCCACTTGTAACTCGTAATTGCGACTTACAACTCGCGATCGCCACTTATAACTCCCGATCGCTACTTACGATTCGCGATCGCTACTTATAACTCGCGATCGCCACTAGTTGTGCACGTGTGTATGAAACTTGAAAACAATGCCAGTGAATAATGAGGACCCTCGCTTGTAAATACAAAATCTGGGGGGAAAATTGGTTATGTTTGAGGCCCTATTTAAAAGCCTTCCCTCTTTTCAATGTTGTTGAAACTTACAGGGAATATTTCTTAACGATTGATCTCGGGATTGTCGAATTTACAAAAAAATTTATCGAGCGGTTTTTGGAAAAATGCGAAATTTTTAGGCATGGACCAAGTTACCTCCAAAAACTGTATCAAAAGCAGCTGAATGCAAGTTAATAAAATTCTTCTTACCCGCCATCGCCCAGAGCAATTCCCCTCTTTTTTTGTATCCAGTTTTCAATGGAATCAAACCACCATGAGATGAAGCTGCGATTCCAAAGCTTATCATTTTCTTAAAATATTAGCGAATTTTGCGGCTAGCATGCTATTTCACTGCTTTGATGGTTCTTAAAACTGCATTTCAAAATATTTCGAAAACGCTCTCATAGAATTTCTTCAAACTTTGCCATAATGGAGGCAATTATGGCAGGTGCATACTCCCTTAAGCGATTTCTTCAAAAAACTCCTGGTACAGAAAAACACAACGATAAATGAAAGACGTAATGGCGTCATTACGTTGCCATGGCGACTCCGATTGCAATAAAACCCAGATCATAAGAAATTTTCGTCTTTACATAATACAGTTGTGGTAACCTTTTTTCCATATCTTTACTCATGCCGACGTAGTTAATGCTCAAACTTAGGAGGTATCAACCCCAAAAAAAACAGTCGAGCCACCTTAAATATACCGTTCTTAGCAAAAGGTACAAAGAAAGTCAGTTTTATAAGATTACTGTGATTGTAGCCAATGAGCCATACACCAATCAATTGTACTTGGAAAAATCGACTTGATTTCTCTTTACTTCCGTTTACTTTGATACCACAGTATTTTAAGACGTTCAATTGATCAAAAACACCCTAAAACAAACGAAGTTTGAAGACAAAACAGTGAAATCCACAGCCTTCGCTTGTTCTCATTGCCCTCCATGACTTCGTGATCTTTCCAGACAGTACGGCGCATGCGTGAAGCGTGGAAGTGGGAAACATGTTTTCGGTATAAGTCTTTTTCGTCCGAGTTGGCAGTCAAATATCTCCACGTCGGGCGAAGAAAGATTCAAATATCTCCCCTCCCCTGGGAGAACAAGATCAGTCAAATGCCCTACCCCAGGGCCAACAAAGACAATCAAATCCCCACCCCATGCCCTGCCTCCCCCGCCGGCTTTACATTGATAGGTGCATTAGAGGATGGCTTTGTACTCCAACAAGTGAGCGTGCGCATATTCAGAACCGCCATCGGGACGATGCGACATAGCGGTTGTTACACGGAATTACTTTGCTGTGACTTTTCTGGTCACTCTTTTCACACTTAATGCCTGTGGAGCTTTTCCAAATTATATTCCTAATTTACGTAGAGGCAATGGAGATGGAGACGCCTTGATAGAGGACTACTTTGGTCTTGGTTTCAGCTACTCTGAAGTGAGTAGTCTACTATGTTGGAAATTAAGCCTCGTTGGTGCGTTCCCTTTGGGTTCGTGTGCGTTCCCTTCGCGAGGAAACGCTTGCTACGCAGGCTAGTGGTGGTGGTGGTGGCGATGGGAAAAAAATAGAAATGTGGCGGTGGTGGTATATAGTTTCACTATTTACGAAGCAGTGTTGAAAAAAAAGGTGAGTGTAGGGCCGATGTGGGATCGATGTAGGGTCGATGTATAAAGGTCGATGTAGTGTCGATGTGGGGTTGGTGTAGGGTCGATGTGGGGTCGATGTGGTCGTGGATAGAAAATATGTATAATAAAATGAGAAGTTATAAGTAGCGATCGCGAGTTATAAGTGGCGATCGCGAGTTACAACTGGCGATTGCGAGTTATAAGTAGCTATCGCGACTTGTAAGTGGTGATCGGGAGTTGTAAGTTGCGATCACGAATAATAAGTGGTGATCGCGAGTTATAGGTAGCGATCGCGAATCGTAAGAAGCGATCGGGAGTTATAAGTGGCGATCGCGAGTTGTAAGTCGGGATTACGAATTATAAGTGGCGATCGCGGGTTATAAGTTGCGATCGAGAGTTACACGTGGCGATCGGGAGTTAGAAGTTGCTATTGAGAGTTATAACTTACCATCGCGAGTGTTAAGTCGAAATCGAGAGATATAAATTTGTATTGCTATTTATTAACTTGGATCGAGAGTAAGTCAAATCGCAAATTATTAAGTGGAAATGCAAAATATCGAGATGTCCCTTATGGGCCACCGTACATTATTGTTTATTAAGGATGCCAAAAATTTTAGAAATCGGTTGAATCTTTCATTCTGAAAAACGCAAATCAAAAACATAACCAACACGCATATAAATAGGTTCGGGCAACCTTAAATGTCACTCTTTACGGCAGACTTTTCAACGAATCATTCAGGCTCTATTATTTGCGAAACATCTTCACCGCTTTTGCTGTTGGCTTGAGTGGCTAGAATAAAGCTCAATTCCAAAAAAATTCTAGAACGGTTTTCATCATTGCCGTCGATTGTAGGGTACTTAGGAAAAGAGACGAAAAACACAGCTGAACACGTAATCTTATTTACGCACGGGCGTGCGTAAATAAAGATTTTGTTCATAGCGGCTCAATAGGACTTATATAGGGCAAGCATTCGCGCTATGTTAAATAATTTAAAGGATAATCTGCTTGATCCAGGGTTATAAACTAGATACTAACAGATAATTTGCTTCAATATTCCCTTTTCTTTTCCATATATCAGCGATATGTGCTCAAGGATGTCACTCCAGTCACGGGAGCTGTGTTGCACCCGATAACTGCCAGTGTCAGTCCGGTTGGACTGGTAACAACTGTGCGCAAGGTATTCTAACTTTCCCACTGGTTGCATTGTGTCCAGAAATCTACATGACTCGGACCTCATTTACCTCATATTACTCCCAATTATTTGCAATTTTAATATGGCATCATGTTTCACAGAATTGCTCGCGTTTAGGTGAGGTAGAGGCTTGGGAACACTTCGTCTATCACGCCAAAGGGATGAATCTCATAAGCTTTATCGAGCATGACCCACGGCAAGGCCTCAGTCTTGTTCATATCGGTAAAACACGACTTTCCTAATTTTCTTTTTTGATCACGTGATTAGTCACTTACGTTCTCATATTCTTTTACTTATCGTATCCAAGGATGTGCACATTATTGCAAACATTGCTTAAAAAAAGAGATCGCCAGTTTAAATTTCAAGTGGCTGATTTTGTTAAGTTTAAATGCAGTTTTTTTTTTTCGCTCCATAGACTTAGATGAATGTGCTGTAAACAAAACTGGATGTGATCAAGTGTGCACTAACACACAGGGTTCTTATCAGTGCAGTTGCAATCCTGGATACACCAAACGTGGTCATGGATGCTATGGTATATTCACAGTTGTTATCACTTTTATAACTGGCAGATCGCTATATATTTTACTTCAATTTTAACACTTGCAAATCTAAAAAGAATTCCCTTTCTGCAACATCTAGATCTACATATGCGTTTCAAATTTTCTTTTTCTGTATAAGCAATACTCTGATTTTTACGTAGCCCTTCATATTATGAGTTACATACACGAATACAATAAATGCGATTCTATGCCAGTAAATTAAGCTCTAGCATCCCAAACATTTGAAAGCGTTTGCCTTAATTTTTCAACTAAGTAAAGGCCAACTCAGTAAAACTATTTTAACAAACATAGCGCAGTCTTATTGATCAGCGTAGAGTATCGGTAATCTGGGACGCAGTCAACCTCGCTCTAAGATTCTCTTCTTTCCTTGGCAACGAGGCTCGGATGGGTCAATTTTCTTTCCCTGGGAACGAGGCTGGCATGCAGTGATATAGTGTCTTCTCTAAATAGAGTTACAAAATGCAGCATAACATGGTCTAGTTAATAGGCCAAGGGCTCCAGAAGCACACTCCATTAAAAATTCATGGAGTACCCTACCCGGGTCTTTCAATCGAGGCGAATTATTGTCTTTTATGACTATTGTTCATTTCGTACCAGATATTAACGAGTGCCTGACAATAGTTCCCAGCCCCTGCAGTTGCGGTGTAAGCGGCGAGCCTTGTGGTGCAAACTGTACCAACCTTGTGCCCAGCTTCACTTGTTCCTGTGCACCAGGATTCCAGCTTAGAAGTGGTGGAACAATTTGTGACGGTAAAAACTACTACTTTCTTGTGAGAAGAAAGTGTTTTTGTGTGTCGAATGTGTTACGGATGTCAATAAATGTCTTCTCTTATTTTGATATCATCTAATAATAGTCTCTAGGAATTTCCAGCTTCCGAATCTTACTGCAATTTATCATTTTTTTGTGTGTGTGTCTAAATAGTAAGAGGTCGATATCTAAAAAATACTTCAATTTCCGGCTTCTCAATCTCAGTTCACCCTAGAAAAAAAAACATTCTGTCTCTGAATTTACTCTTCAGATATCAACGAATGTTTAATTGGGAATGGAGGATGCGAACAGATTTGTAACAACTTTCCGGGGAAATTCTCTTGTGGATGTTATCGGGGCTTTCGCCTGACAGCCAGTAATGGAAGCCGATGCGAAGGTAATTAAAGAAAAATGGAGAGACGTAAAAGTTACAACGAGTAATGTGAAGTCTCTCAGTCCCTGAAAAGACCTACTACGAAATGAACTGATAAATTGATTGGAGAGATTTTGACCTCCTGACGTGTCCAGTACAACTAGTAAGCATAAAATGGCTGGCATAACTGCAAACGAAAATCTTTTGATTAAAATCAAATCAAAATCCCTTGATCTGTTATAATGTATCATTACCGTATTTATTCGATTAACCGCCCTGGGCGCTTATTAAATTTTTGGACCTTGAGAGTGGGCGCTTATTCGAGGCTGGGCGCTTATTAAATTTTCACCATTTTCAGCAAGTGAAGTATGTTTATTCATTTTGCAACAAAACAATAAATGCTAATAACAAAACGGGACGAAGTAACAAAGCAAGGTTTCTGTAAAATACTCTGAAGAAAACTCCGTCCTCGGGGAAGTCTCTTATTAGAATTTATTCACTCAAGTGGGTGGGGTGGGGGTGAACGCTTATTTGAGTTTGATTGGGGGAGGAGGAGGGGTGGGCGCTTATTCGAGGCTGGGCGCTTATTAACTTTTTCTGCCTTTAGGATGGCCGCTTATTCGAGGTGGGCGCTAATTCGAATAAATACGGTACATTTGTTATAGTGTCAGTAATTCATCCTGAGCCCGCAGTATGTATGCGGCTACTGTAAAACCCTATGTGCTCTTTGATTAATACAGTTCTTTAGTTGATCCGCCATCTTGCGTGCAGTTGTCTGTTTGCCCGAGAACATAACATTTCTGGCGACGAGAAATCGCGCGACCATGCCAAGCCTCCGCAAAATAGAGCAGTTCAATTCAGCTACTACAAGCATCAATCGCTACCTAGAGCGACTGGAACAATATTTCGTGGCAAACAGCGTTCCCGCCGATTCTGCAGAGTCACACAAACGAAGGGCAATCCTAATTTCTGTTATTGGCGCCAAGGCCTACGATGTTCTTTCGGATCTCTGCTCACCGACTCCTCCTTCTGAGAAAACATATGCACAGCTCACCACTATCCTAAAGAATCATTTCGCACCGAAGAAACTGGTTATCGCCGAAAGATGCCGATTCCACAATTGTACACAACGCGAAGGCGAGAGTGTCACAGCGTTCGCTGCTAATCTGAAACATCTGGCTTCAACTTGCCAGTTCGGCACTCACCTGAATGAAGCTTTACGCGATCGTTTCATCTGTGGTCTTCGCAGTAAGGAGACACACTTTCGATGCAGCACTGAAGGTCGCCCTCGGCGCCGAAGCTGCCGAAAAGGATGTTGCTGCGTTTTCGCAAGAAAGTTCAGCTTCCGTTAACAAAGTCGACTCTGGTAATCGTCGAAGTTTTCAGCCTACCCAGCGTCGTAAGGGTCCTGGCAAGCGAGGCAATTTTAATTCCTCTGGTAGCAACATTAAAGACCCCTCGGAGTGTTTGAGCTGCGGAAAAACAGGGGCACCCACGTTCTCAGAGTAAATACAGAAATTACACATGTCATTCTCTCGGTAAAGTTGGTCACGTCTCGGAGGCATGCAAAGGGAAACCTCAGAAAGTACACCAGCTGGAAGGATCAGAACCTCCTCAAACTAGTCCTACCGATGATTCGGTTGATCCTTTTTCTCGCTCGCTGTACAATCTGAGCTCAGGCCAGCAAGGTATTGAGATACCCGTTGAACTGAACGGAACCTCTCTTTTAATGGAATTAGACATTGGTGCCGGCGTCTCAGTTATTTCAGAAGAAACTTACAAGAAACACTTCAGTGGCACACCCCTCATGCAGTCCAATACTCGCGTACGTGCATATACAGGACACCCACTCAAGGTACACGGGCAACTTCTGGCACACCTAAAGTACCAAGACCAGAGCGCCGATGTCCCACTTCTTCATGTTGAAGGCTCAGGCCCATCCCTTTTTGGAAGATACTGGCTGTCCCGAAGAAGACTCGGCTGGACGAAGATCTGTAATATTCGCGTATCGGAGACAGACCTCCCACAGGGCGTGGCTTCCCAGTTGCGCACAACTATCCAAAATCACCCTAACATTTTCAAACCAGGCCTGGGAACTGTTAAAGGAATCACAGCCAAACTAGAGATGAAACCTGACGCACATCCAAAGTTTTGCAAGGCTCGTCCTGTCCCCTATGCTCTTCAGGAAGCTGTTGAAGCTGAATACAACCGTCTCGAGGATAGAAAAGTATTTCGTAAGGTATCTGGCATAGACCGACACCCTCTAAGGGGAGTATTACCCAAGAAGAAAGTATCGACTTACAATTTAAGGAATCGAACAAGTCAGTATCCGAAAGTTAATACAGATAGATTCAAGAACTCTTACATTAATCGGTTAATTTTTAAATACAATTTAGCTATGTGAGCGCATTTTTTTTTTATTGTAAATAACTTAGATATATATATTTTTTACTCAAATATTGTAACATAAGATATGTATTTTTTATCTTGTGAGGAAATAAAGACTACTAACTAACTAACTAACTAACTAAGAAGGACTTGTCGAACGGGTGGAATTCAGTGAGTAGGCTACCTCAATGGTTCATGTCCCCAAGGCAGATGGAACTACACGTTCTTGTGGTGATTATGACCCGTTACTGTCAACCCCCAGCTTCACGTCCCTCAGTATCCAATTTCCCTCCCGGAGGATGTCTTCTTGAAACTGCGGGGTGGACAACGTTTCACTAAGCTCGACGTAAAGAGTGCCTACCAGCAGCTCCCTTTGGATCCTGAAAGCCAGCAGTTCGTTACCATCAATACGCACAGAGGTCTTTACCGCTACAAAAGGCTACCCTTCGGTATTGCGTCTTCGCCCGCTCTGTTCCAGCGCACTATGGACATCATCCTTCAGGGTTTAGATCATGTGGCGAGTATACAAGATGACATTCTTATTACTGGCAAGGATGACGACGAACACATTAAGAACTTAGACAGCGTCCTTAGCCGTCTAGACCATTATGGCTTGCGACTTCAGCTAAGCAAATGTAAATTCATGCAGAAATCAGTAACGTACATGGGCTGTGTCATCTCTGCCAGCGGAATTTCTCCTACAGAGGAAAAGGTAGAGGCCATCAAACAAGCACCAAGCCCTGAGAACCTCACCGAGCTGACAGCCTTCCTTGGAATGATCAATTATCACGGCAAGTTTATCCGAAACCTGAGCTCTATCCTCCAACCACTCGATCAGCTTCTCCAAGGTAACCAAGAATTCAAGTGGTCCCCACGGTGCGAGGAGGCATTTAAAAATGCCAAGGACTCACTCTCATCTTCAAATGTATTGGTTCATTATGACCCAAGCCTTCCTCTTATTCGTGAGAGCGATGCAAGCCAGTATGAGATCGGAGCAGTCATATTTCACCCCTTCCCTAATGGTGATGAGCGACCTATCGCATATGCCTCCAGGTCCTTGAACTCGTCAGAGAAAAACTACAGTCAGATCGAGAAGGAAGGTCTTCCCATTATTTTGGGGGTCACCAAATTTTACATGTATCTTCGGACGCAAGTTCACTCTGGGAACTGATCACAAACCCCTGTTGAAAATATTTGCACCGGATTCTGCGACTCCAGTTTTGGCTGCTACTAGACTGCAACGCTGGTCCGTTCTCTCTTCGTACCACTACGAAATTGAGTTCAAGTCATCTGCTGAAGTAGCCAGCGCTGAAGCCTTGAAAAGACTCCCACTTCAGTACAGGAAAGATGCAAGTGTGGAAGAGGAAATCTTCCACGTGGCCCCTCAGCAGTTAAAACGACACCCAGTTTCTGCCGCAGAAATCACCAAGGACACATCTAGGAACCCTTTGTTAGCGAAAGCACTGTTGCTTACGCAGAATGGTTGGCCTATTAATCGCCGCGCCGATCCTGACCTCAAGCCATACTTCACACGCAGACACGAACTCTCTGTGGAGCAAGGCTGCCTTATGTGGGGCCTACGAACTGTCATACCTCCTTCTTTAAGACAAACCATCCTGACCGAATTACATGAAGGCCACCCTGAAATTGCACGCATGAAATCAATAGCCCTCAGTCATGTTTGGTGGCCGAAAATAGATCAGTAGATTGAAAAGGTTACCCGTGAATGTCAACCGTGCAACAAAACCCGCAGGGCTCCTCCAGCCTCACCGCTTCTTCCATGGTCTTGGCCGACAGCTCCATGGCAACGTGTTCACGTAGATTTTGCCACCCATCAGGCAAAACATTACCTCATCATGGTCGACGCCCTTTCTAAGTAGTCCCATGAAAACAACAACAGCCGACTCAACCATTAATGCCGTGCGTAATATTTTTGCAAGATACGGTCTACCAACCCAAGTAGTCAGCGACAACGGCCCACCCTTCCAGTCGGCAGAGTATGAAGAGTTCCTGCGGCAAAATGGCATTCAGAGAATTTTAGTTTCCCCTTGCCATCCCTCTTCAAATGGGTTGGCTGGGCGGTTTGTGCAGACTTTCAAGTATGCAATGGAGTCATCAGTCAACGATCCCGCAAGCTCTATACAGCGGCGGATTCAGAATTTCCTCTTATCTTACAGAAGCACACCATACGCTACAACCGGCTCATTCCCCGCCAAGCTATCCTTACAGCGAGAACTTCGTACTCGATTATCTCTGGTTACACCTGATATTAGATCGGGCGTGGCCAGCCAGCAAGACAAAATGAAGTGCAATCACGACAAGCTTGAAAAATACAGGGAGATAGCTGTAGGCGACTTTATTCTCGCACGTGACCACCCTTCGGGACAGAAGTGGCAAGCTGGTATTGTCGTACAGCAAACATCACCTGCTTCCTTTCAAGTCCAGTTGAACGATGGACGGAATTGGAGGAGACATGTTGACGATGTACTTCAAAACACCCCTAGTTATGCTCTGATCAATCTACTGAAGGCGTTACTTGTCCTAGTATCGAAGGCAGTACACCCCCACCTGAAGAATCAGAGTCAGTGGAGTCGCCAAGCACCCCTACTCCTCCCACCCCTGCTCCGCGTCGGTCCAAACGTGCTACTAAACGACCCCAGAGACTGATCGAAGAAATGGACTAAAACCATTAATTCTCGCCTTAATGACACTGAACAGTGCTTCTCATAGTTTTGTTTCTTTTCTTGAACTTTTAATCATTTCGCGAGTTTCAATAGGAGCCAGCGTGGCCGAGTGGTCAGCGCGTCGGACTCGCAATCCGGCGGTCCCGGATTCGAGTCCCGCTCTGGCCACTTGCTGGATTTGTGCTCCGTCGTCCCGAGTTCAAATTCTCGGCCACGCTTGTAAATAGCCAACTGGTCGCCTTTTGCCAGTTGGGGTTTTTAATCCTGTTATGTTGTATTTGAATTATTTGTTTCTAATATTTGAGTGGAGTGCCTGTAAATTAGCTGGACAAGCTAAGTGCAATTTCCACTATAAACAAGCCTTTAACCATTTTTTTTTTAATAGTTGTTTTGTACTTTAATTTCTTGTCAGGCACAACATTTCTGCGGGGAGCTGTTATAGTGTATCATTACATTTGTTATAGTGTCAAGAAATCTTTCTGAGCCTGCAGTATATATGCGATTACTGTAAAACCCATGTGCTCTGTGATTATTACAGTTCTTTAGTTGATCCGCCATCTTGCGTGCAGTTGTCTGTTTGCCCGAGAACATAACATGATCATGCTTTCGATTTCTGCTGACTGCGAGTTGTTGTTGGAGTTCTCATTCGCAACGCTTTTAAATAATGTGTTCTTCTCATGCCATTTGCGGAATTTTTTTGAACTGGTCATGTTATAATTGTCTCAAGGGAAATAATAAAAAATATTTATTCAGGTAACTACAGGGTGCCTGGTACTTGGTTAAAAATATTGGCACCCAATCAAATGTCTATTTTAAAGTTTTCCGGAAACGTTTCATATCCAGTATGACCTCGCAGAAGTATCATTATAAACAGCTTATTTGTTTCACCTTCAGACATTGACGAATGCTTGTCCAGTAACGGGTTTTGCGCTCAACAGTGCATCAATACTGCAGGCTCGTATTCATGCCGCTGCAATCATGGATTCTTTTTGGATTCAAATGGCAGAACTTGCTCAGGTAAATTTAAATGCCCTTTCTTAGGATTACGTTATTTGATTAAACTCAGCCAGGTAAACCTTATTTCGCTTGTTGCTCCTTATCTACATTGATAGAGTAGTCCTAATGAGTTAAAGGCTCATGTTCACCCAAAGAGAACGGCTTTGCGCGCTTGTGTTTTGTTTTGAAACGATTCTTTTGTCAAACACAGTGGTTTGATTGGCTTCCACTTTTGAGGAGCGTTGCGTGACGATACTAAATAACTAGCTTTTTTCACGCTTGACCGAAGAAACTGAAGCTTACAGAGACAGTATCAAAGAGGCCAGTAAGACTTTAATTATTTTCCAAATGGAGGAGGATATATCGCCGACTTCGTTAAATGTCACTGGAGAAAGCAGTTCAAAATTTAAACTGGTAGTGAATGCGTATGGATGCTTTGTTGAGTCCGATGAACACAATGAGGGTCATATAATTACGAAACGTCTAAGCACCAGGTGAGACTTTACCGAAGCCCGATTCGACTGTGAAATGTTTTGATTCCTCAATCTATTATTTTATGTTAATTCTTAGGAAGCTTAGGTATGTGTTCTCGAAAGAATAAGCGAGAAGTTGTCTTTGCAAAGCGTCGAATCAGCACTGAGTACAGTCTTGTACTCTGTTCTTTAGGTTTGGCTAAGGACTGGTTTGTTAATAATAGTTTTCGCTATTTTAGAGCGATACGCCAGACGATACGTTTACGTTAAGGATATCGCTCGCTTCATAGGTTAAATTAAATACAGCATTGTTCATATTGACTCGCTTGTTTTGCTTTCAACTGATTTCAAAGGGACCTTTGTTTACAATTGAACATCAGCATTCGATGTAGAAGGAACTCGGCAAACACGCTGCCTGGAGAATTTGCAGCCAAGGGCTTCTTTCTCATCTCTCCAGAGATTGAAAAACGGATTCACGGAGACGAATGTACTTCGGCGACGCCCGTCGACGCGGTCTTCCAACCGTACGTTTCGATGGCGCCGCCATCGAAAGTATTGCAGTGAAACAAGCGCTCACGGAAACAAAAAGGCTTGATACCAGACCAAAATATCTAAAGAGATGTAAAGAAAAATACCAAAAGAACCTGTTTAGACTTCCTTTTAAACCAGATTTAGCGAACTGTGGAAGATTAACAAAGATTAACTCTACACAGCGAAGACAGCGATTTTCAAATAAGCGGAATGTTTTTTCCTGTAGTACAGGGCGCGCAATGCATCTAGGGCGAACATGGGCCTTTGAACAAGAGCCAATGTGGGGTTTGTCTCGGGCACAATTTGAGATGTAAGAACATAACGAGGGGGATGTTATTGTCATTGGTTCGAAATTAATAGAAGGTAAAAGGAAAGAGATTGACAGAAGTGTATTTCAGCATCTTTCATTTAAAGTAAGACAAAGAAAGGAACGTAACAATAATCAAGTTGTTCTTTAGATAAACTGTAGGTGAAATGGGCTTCAGACTTTCCAGATGTATCCAATACAACTAGACATACAATTCTTCTATAATGTAAAAGAATAATATAGATTAGAGGAAGTCAACCCAAACTTTGACATTACAAACAGTATAACTATCCATCGTGAAATGAAACTTTTTAATGTCTATTTTTTGACGTCGGGAACAGTGTGGCTTTGACTAGACCAATTTGTTCACCCGTCCCCTCCCACCAACAATTTTAATTATTTTAGCCTCGCTACGGGTCGGACTCTTTTTTATTGGTTATTGCAGTGGAGGCGCAATCGATTCTGACAGCCCTATTTGTTTGGCTTAAAAGGTGGTGTAAATGAATCTCTAGTCTTCCGCCTACCAATTTATGTCAATGATTATGGGCTCATTCTATATCTTTATGATCACTGAACGTTGTGAAAGGGAACGTGGGGTTCCCCTCGTTTAAAGCTATAAAGAAGTCACCGATATTTTTTTCTGACTTGGATTTCAGATCATGATGAGTGTATGTCGAGCCATCATGGATGTCAGCATCGGTGCAACAATTTTCATGGAAGCTTTTTCTGTTCATGTTTTTCTGGATATGCGATAAACAGAGACAATAAAACTTGTTCAGGTATGCGTTCGAGTTGTGCATTTTAAAAGGAGCGAACTAATTACCAATAAGAGGGTGGCCTCAAAATTTCTGTCGGTAGACAATTGACGAATAATAATAATAATAATAACAATCTTTATACAGGGAGCTCACTTCACAAAGAGTGATATTCAGTGAGGCTCTGTAAAACAATAGGAAAAATAAATGATGTTATAATTAGATAAATGAATGCGTAATAGTAATAATAAGTAAAAAGTTAAGAACTAAAAACCTAAATTATACAAGCTACAGGTTAAAAATGTTAAAATGTCCGATAGATTAAACTATTAAAAGCTATAAAATATCTAAAATATATAGCTTTTAATGTTCTGTTTAAAAAGAAGAAGAGAGTTAATTTCTTTAAAAGATGCGTCTAAAATGTTCCATTCCTAAGCGCATGAATAAAAAAGTCTGCTTTCCGTAATTCCTTTTAGCGAGAGGAAGGCGGAAATCGTTCCTTCTTCTAGTGTTTCTCTTGTTTCTCAAAATGTTAAAACTGTGATCTACAAGTCCGTGGATGTACTTAAAAGTGGATATGTATCTATAATAATGTACAAGGCGCTCTTGAAATAAGGTAGGCCATCTGCGTGATTTGAGAGCGTAGGTAGATAAAGCATAGCTGGGCAAATCAAGGATAACTTTAGCAGCCTTATTTTGCAAGACCTGTAAATCGTGCATTAATTTAATATTATCTCTGTCTCCCCAGATGGTATCAGCAAAGTCGAAGAGAGGTCATACTAAAGCATTGTATAATGCGACTCGCTCATCCAAAGGCAATAGATGTTTGATACGATTTAACAAGCCAATTCTTTGATTCACTTTCCCAATCAATGATTCGATATGCTCATTCCAAGTCAGATTCTTATGAATGACAACACCTACATACTTGATTGAATCTTCACGTTCAAGGTTTTTGTGATCAATGAAAAGCTTAATACCTCGGCAGGTTTGCATCCTTCTATCACCACCAAACAATACGAACTTCGATTTCGATGCATTTAAGGTCAGATAGTTGTTGTTAAACCATTCGGCAAGATTGGCAACGTCAGCATTCAGGTGGTATTCAATATTTTGACAGCAATTTGCTCTGAAAAAGTAAATCACTGTGTTGTCTGCATATATGACTACCTGGCAGTACTCTAAACAGTTGGGAAGGTCGTTAACGTATATTAGAAAATGAGGAGGCCCAAGGATGTTTCCTTGGGGTACTCCAACAGGAGCCTTTTGTTGAGTCGACCGGCAGTTTTCAACAGATGTGACTTGATACCGACTTTTAAGGTATGAGGCAAACCCCTACACAACTCGAGAACTAGCTCGAATTGTCTTGAGTTTTTCGACAAGAAACACATGGTCCACTGTGTCGAAAGCCTTCGAAAGATCTAAGAAAACTGTTCCAGTGAAGCCGCCTTTATCAAGACTCTGTAGTATGTTGTCTGTAAAATGAGCAAGGCCAGTTACGGTTGAAAGTTAAGGGCGGAAACCAAATTGATTTGGAGTAAGTAATTCATTCGCCGATAAAAACTCGTACAGCTGTTGGTGCACAGCCTGCTCTAGGATCTTGCTAGTGGTTGGGAGCACTGTGATTGGCCTGTAATTGTTACAATCGGTACGATCGCCTCCTTTAAATAAAGCAGTCACCTTACCACATTTCCAAATCGATGGAAAAGTGCTTATCTCAAGTGACCGGTTAAAAAGTCTGGTCAAAATGATAGGTGCCATGCATTCAGCTGAGTCAATTGCTTGAGAACAAAGGATTCTGTGATACTACAAAAGGAAATTAAAGCGATTTATTATTGCCATTCCATCGCGAAAAGGCAGGTGGCAAAAACTTTCTGGAATTGCTGGCTATAAGCCGGGGATTTTCCATAATTTTGGCCGCTAGCTTGGTTCCGATACGAGAGAAGTGCGTATTTAGGGCCTGAGCTATTTCATTGGTTTTCGTGCATAAAACACCGTTCGCCTCAATTGAATCGAAGTTATAGTCGAATTAGACTTTTTTGACGTGATCTCATTGAAGGTTTTCCACAACTCGATGGGATTTCCTTTATTCTTGTTGATTAAAACTGAACAGTATTCGGCCTTGCATTTCTTCACTTCTTTATACACAAAGTTCTTCATCTTATTATACATTTCCCAATGGTATGTTGAGTTCGTTTTTATCGCCTTTGCACGATGAAAATCCCCGTCACGCATGGCATTTTTCAAGTCCGAAGTCATCCAAGGTGTTTTTGCCTCCTTAATACGGGTCTTCTTGATCGGCGCGTGTCTGCTCGCAACATCAGTAAACAGGGTGTTTCACATTTCCACAGCAGGATCGACATCACCATTAAAATCAATCATATTCCAATCAGTTTTTTTTAGGTATGTTTAATTCAGATTTTTATGGAGGGATTTAGCCATGTCTCAGAAAATGTGAAGATATCAAAACGTTTGTTATGAATAAGAGTCCGGACATCGTCCATCTTGTTCAAAATGCTTCGCACTTTCAAATGAGCTATTTTAAGGCCACGATGTTTCGGTAGTTCAGCCGTATCGTAGAAATTTCCAGTAGGTCCTGGATTTAAACTCACATTACCAGAAAGCAAAAAAAACGATAGAAAGTGAGTCTTCTTACTGTAGCAAAAATCTATTTTCTGTTGATTTTTAAGAAACTATTTCTTACATAACTACTAAAAACGCCGACTTCCTTTACTCACTATTTCTGAACTGATAAGCTGAGCTAGTACGTTAGCTAATGATGCTGAGTGAAAGGCAATGGAATTATTTCAAGGTTTTACTCATAGCTGATAAACGTTATCTCCGAAAAAAAATCGGTACATCAATAATTTGATGCAAAAAATTGCAAAATGGGAACGTTTAGGCTTTGAGCCGACAGCAGAGCCAGTAGAATATCACGTTTGGGAACAACAGCGTTGTCAAGAACATAGTTGCATTGGGCCATTTTGGATGTCTTTTCAAGAACCCCTGTATATAGTAATCAGTAACAGTAAAGTGAACCTACTTTACTTCTTTCAGACGTGAACGAGTGTGCTCCAGTGTATGTGGCGAGCCTGAACAGAACCATTATTCCTGCTGGATGCGATCAACTTTGCCACAACATACATGGGAATTACACCTGCAGTTGTAACCATGGATACCGTCTGCTCTACGATGGAAAACGATGCCGAGGTATTTTTTAAGACATTTGTAGACTCCATAACGCCTCTGTTTTTCATTTAACTGGTCGATCTCCAGCAGATAATTGCAGTCATCTTTGAACACAAACAACTTCCATTTTTGAACAACACAGATGTAGATGAATGTCTCTCAGGAAGCCACTCTTGTCAGCACATTTGCCACAACACACCTGGGTCTTATGGCTGCTCGTGTTTCTCCGGATACAGACTTAAATCGGACATGAGAACCTGTGAAGGTGAAAGCCTTAACGTTTTCTTTCTGATTTTGAATAAAATATAATATTACATGCCGCGTGACGCTTGCACATTTCCTGCTTAGTATAACCCACCGTAACGCACTGCGCGAAACGGGAAAGTAAATATTTACAACCGACACACAGGGTCAATGTTGTATGTGACATTAAGAGGGCGGCTTGGCGTGTGATGTTAAAAAAAGGGCCACAAACGCTAAAATTGTTCCAAGACTTTTATTCAGGATTGTAACATTCTCACAGGCATTCGTTACCAGAAGTGCAATGCGTTTTGCTTACAACTGATCCAACCTAATGGTGAAACGCACGTAGGAAACTCCCCAAGTAAGGGAATCCAAGGCTAGATTCCGGATTCTCTGTCAGTGGAGCTTGGATTTAGGATTCCAGTCGACACGATTCCAGTCGGATTCTAATCGTCAGGTTTCGTTGAGCTACATACCGGATTCCAAAGCCAAGAACTCATTCTGTTTTCCACAAGAAAAATTTCCTGGATTCGGGAATCCGGATTCCCTTAAATTGGGCGATAGGGAAAACTATTCCTTGTCTAAGCAACCAGTCCAAGGATCTTAAAAAACACTTTCTTCTGATTTCCAACACTAGGCATTTGTAACATTAATTCTTACTTTTTTTTGAGAAGGGCTTCCTTGCAAGGCTATCAGGGCCCCACCTAATGGACACATGATATGTAGCGGCTTGGTTACCAGCGAGACATGTTTGTTTTCCTGCAATGATGGCTATGAAATGCAAGGCTCTGAAAGACGAACTTGCCTCAAAACTACAGAATGGAACGGTGATGAAACATTTTGCAAAGGTGAGCAAAGACGTGGTCTCTATAAAACTCATCCCAACTTAAACTGTTGCTTACAGCCTATGGTTAAATAATGAGATAAAGCCATCAGAATTTAAGCTTAGCCATATCTGACTGAAAAATAAGAGCGTTACTCCTGATTGGGTAATTGTTATGCTATGTCACCAAACAATTTTCTCTCACCTCACTCTTTTTTTTATCACCCGTGTACAGTGAAAAGTTGTGGTCGCCTAGACCTTCCAGCAAGAGGACAAGTGTATCTTCCTTGTTACTCTACATTTGGCTCAAGATGTACACTTGGATGTATGGATGGCCACTTTGGCGTTGGTAGTAATCTTGCTACTTGCAGTCTGACTAATTCAAGCGAAGTGAAGTGGGACATAGGAAACTTTACTTGCGAAGGTTAGTATTGTTGAGGTTTCCGTAATTTACGAGATATTTTTCCAGACGTGAAAACCCTGTTCATTTGTATCCTTATATGAAATAAAAGTGTTAAAGCCTATCCTTTTCGTACCATTAGAAAATATTATCTTTATATTTGAGCTAAGACTTTTAAGACTTTTCTATCTTTAAGAACAAAGTGCTAGAGTCTTTATTAAAATAGTTACTGAAGTAGTTTAGCGGCACTTCTTCGCAGCCCTTATTTCTTATAATATTGTGATGTCGAGGTGGCCTCTCTTTATAAGCCTGGTGGTTTCTTAAGGTCTCCTCGCCTAACAACCTGCTGTATCCTTTAAAATTTGTTCTAACACAAAGGCCAATAAATGATGAAGATGAAAACACGATGTGCATCTGCCTCTAAAGCGCGACCCGATGGTGGTTGAAGAAGAAAAACTGTTGAAAATTAAGAAACGTGCTTAACGCTTTCAGTGCAATGACAAGTATTCTGCTTCTTTACTCTGCTCAAGTAGATTAAGGCCTGGTTCTTTTTCTCAGAATTTTGAAAAGGGTGGTCTAATGTAAAGTTTTCTTTAAGATATCCCGCAGGTCTAATAAATTAAGGCCAACCATAACTAAGAAATGTTCAAATTTCATTTTAAAATTGTTTATAACTGCATCACGTGACCAGCCACGCCCTGTTTTATCGAGAAATCCTTTGGGTTGAAATAGCCACCATGTAGAGAGCAAACGGTTTTCCTTTTGCACGTCCAAACAGTGACTACTGTTAGTCTTCTTGTAAAAAAGGGGGAATGAGACGAAGTCATTTAACGTCTTTCTCCCAAAGAAAATTTTAGTTAGAGCAGGGCTGGCACTAGTCAATGAACACCAATTGCACCTAAAATCTGTAAATATTCCAACCATTCCGAGCTGATTTCGTACACAATTTGTATAGTAAAAGTTTTTGATTAGGAGAAACTGGAGCTACCCGTTTAGCAAGTTGTGGGCATCGTTTGTTGCAATTCTCCAACGGACGAGGGCGTGGTAGATCACGTGTCCTGGTAATTTGGATTAATCAAGTTTTTTTCAGGTTATTTTTCCTTACCATCTATTATTCCTGAAGGCTGTCTTTAACATATAATATATGGTTTTGGAAAATTTACATAAAAATCACAAATGACTTAGAACCAGGCCTTAATCTACTTTCTGGTGTTTGAAAACATGGAGATGCGAGCGTTTTGCGGGGCAGTTTAGTTTAGAAATAATGTTTTTACGTCCATGGATTATTTTACAACATCCTTACTTATGTTTTCATCCCTTCAATTAAATGTAAGGATAGAAAAAGAAAAACGAAAAAGAAGAGACACGTATAATTTAGTAACGTTTCAATGATTACAATTTATTTCTATTTTATTTCGAAAGAAAGGATAGCCAACTGCATGCTTCCTTTTTTTCTCAGAGATAGTCCTCTGCAAACCTAATCCTTGTCGTCATGGTGGCCAGTGCATAGTTATCAGTTCAAGACAATTTTCTTGCGATTGTGAGCATACTGGATATGAGGGCAACCTTTGTGAAAGGGGTGTTGTAACGCCTCCTGATTTCCCCAAACTGATTCCTGGTCATCCCTCAAAGACACTGGAGATGGGTGCAAAGCCAGAAAATTCATTGACAGTTCATTTAAATCCCACCCTGAACTTGACCATTCAGCCAGAGAAGTTGATAATTCAGCACCCAGCATCAAAGGCAGAGTTTCAAATAACGGGTTACAATTCTGCGGTTGGAATGGTGACGTATAGTCTTGACGGAGTGAACAAGTATGATTTCACGGCTCCACGCAAAAGCGTTGTATTCATAGGCCGCAAAGTCTCAAGTCAAGATAGTGTTTACACCAGGCTTGGTTTGTTAGCGGGCGAGTTACCAGTTGGATGTCAACGGATAGACATGAAGAAATTCCGAGCATGTGATGTCAAAATAGCCCTTCATACAAACTCTAACATATCAACTCCAACTTTAATTGAATCCGGTCCAGTCCACATCATAACATCTAACAACAGGACGATCCCTCTTAGCTTAGTAGGTTATGACTTTTCTTCGCCACTTCCATTAGAAAAAGATGTAATGGAAAGACTGATTGGGCTCACAAGCAAATCAGATCGATGGCAAGCTAGTAACCAAAGGACGGATTGTTACAATATCGGATTAACAGGAGAAGACCTCATTGAAATTATACAAAAAGATACCTTCTCAAAGTCTTTTCTGAGATACTTAACGGATCAATTGCCGTTGTGGTTACGATTTCGGGTTAGAGAGGAAAGTAACCTGTTCGACATAGGAAACGTTCAGTCCAACTTTTTTCAAACAACAGATGCCAACCTCACTAACACAATCTGCAAATTTCCCGTCCACATACAAACCGCTTTGGTTCTTTATCGTCCAATGGTGACTTTCAACATCTCAGTTGATAACAATCCTCTTTCGTTGTCAAGCAAAGGGTCGTGTTTCGCTGCTGACGTTTGTGAACCAGGAGGTTTCCTAACTTTATCCCATCGGGCAAGGAAAAAATTTGCAAACATGCAATTTATGCAAGACCTAACCTTGGGAGGGTGGAAACTTCTGGTGTCTTCCTTTGGTTTTTCAACTCCACGAATATACAACAGGTCTGTACTGAGCAGTGTACCAAACGGTCACTTGGTTGGAAATTTCTCCGATTTCTATTATAACTGGTGGTGGCAAGGAAGTGCAAACATTGATCTAAGTAACGCAGATCAGGCTGTAAATATGAAACTGAGTGGAGAAGCCTTTGCTTTCACAGAAAACTTAGATGCCGTAAGTATAGCGTTTTCCTGAGCTTTTAGCTTTCAGCAAAACACAACTACCACCTTTCTTGTATTATTTTTCAATTTGCTGCAGCATTTTCTGTAGGTTGTTAAAAAGCTGTATGAGCATTATAGCTGTACTACGGTTTATCTTAATCTTTTTCTTGTAGATATTTACCAGTTATTTCTCGAAGCCAATAAGATTTGTCTTCCAAGGATCAGTTGAGCTTAACATCACTCTTCACAGCCTTGGAGAAGCATTGCCTTTAACCTTTTACTCTAGCGATGTAATTGGGAAAGCTACATTTGGAGGTGTGAAATGTTCTGTTGATAAAAAAAAATGGTTACTGAATTTTATCCTATATCTGCTAGGAAAAGCACTCCGTGAATGACGTAGAACAGTCTCTGGTTTATTGAAATATTTCTTTATATATATTGACTAAAAGCCATTTTCTTTTCGCATCACTTGATCACTGCTTCTGTGCAACAGAAGTGGTAAATGGTGACGAAATAACCATATTTGTTCCGTACTAGCGATACTCACGTGACTCACTGAAAAGTTTGTTAATTTACCTTACATATTTTCTCTGTCGATGTCACAGGAATCACGTTTTTGGCATCAGGTTTCAGCGATGATTGCCGAGTGCCTCAGGGATTCGTTTTCGCTCTTGGACGATCCTCAAAGCTTTTCAGAGCAAGTCCATTGGCTTATATCATCAGGCCAGATGGTGGATTGAAATATCTGCAGATGTATCATTCAGCGACTGGTGGTGACGTTATCTCAGGGCAGGACGATAAACATAACCTGAGGTTTGTGGAATTGCAGGCGCAAGAAATTAAACGAACTCTACTTGATGTTGGAAGAACTGTACCTCAACTGCAATCCAACACAAAGAGGTGGGAGGCAGTGGCAGACGAGATATTAGCTGATGTGACCAAAGCTCGACACCTGCTGTCTTCAGCTTCCGATTGGTTGGGGTTGAAAGTGCTTGTGAAGCGGCTAGATGACGACCTTGATGTCATATCTCGCGCGTTTGACCTTCTTATAGCTACGTTGCAGCCCTACAGGAATCAAACGAGTATAAACAGTTTTATCTATCGTCTCATTAAATTAAGGGCAGACCTCCCCAAGGCTATCTCTCTTTCTTTCTCCAAGTCCGTTATTCAGCAGAACTTTATAGGTTTGCGATTTCTTTTGACTGCTCAAATATGCCACGAAAAGCTCTGCTTTGCAAACATAGACTCAAGCATCTGGTCCCTGCATGGCAACGATTGTCACGCCAACCCATCACGACAACAAGCCGGTTTACTTGTTGAAGGAACTGCTCTGAATACTACTTCTCTTGGTAGTCTAATAACACTTCCAGCCGGTGGAACGTTGAAAATGTTCCTATCGCGTGATCGTGACCTTGTTTCCACAACCTTTGAGGGTGTTGTTCGCCTACTTGGAATGAAGAAAAAAGCAATGGTAAAAATTACTGGTAGTGAGTTATCGTTTGTCATCTCAGGCGATATGTTTGGAGGGTTTGACGCACTGTTAAATGTCACAGCTCAAATTGATAACGTTGTTGACTGGGATTCCATAGTATTTAGAGTGGAAGGTAAGATGAATACGTCGTCACACCTCCATTCCCTTCTTGAAAAGATGATAAAAAATGAAACTACTATGGCGGCGAGAGATGCAGCACAAAGATTAGCGTACTCTCATTCAGCATATATTGATGCAAAAAGAAAATCAGTGTTCGTTAAAGACGTCCTAAAGTCAAAACAGTCAGTTGTGGACGAACTTAAGGTCTGGAAAGAAAAAGCTGCTGAGGAGCTCCGTCTTGCACGTCTAAAATACCATCTTGCGAAACTACGATTCAATAGTACCTTCTATTTTCTCGAGAACGTCCGAGGCTACATTTGTGAGATACAAGAGTGTAATTACACTTGTTTAAATGGCTGCGTCACTCCGGACCTTTGCCAGGATCCCATAAATATAACTTATCTTGAACGGCATTGCAGCACAGTTGACAAACCCATTACAATTAACGTCATAAAGAAGGAGATTGAAAAACGCAGTTTCACAGTTCCTAGATATAAAATAGTCTATACTGGAAACTGTGGGTCTGGCTTCTCCATACTAAATGTTCTCAACTATGCTCTAAAGGGGGCTCAAATTGGAAAAAAAATTGGTGGAAAGGGGCGGGAAGGATGCTTTGGTGCTCTTTTTGGTTTTGCTCTTGGAGCTCTAATAGGAAGCGCCATTGAAGTTTTCAAGGAGCCAATATTTGGTTGCTCTAATACGTACGAAATAGTGCCAGCTGAGCCTCAAATTGTGGAGTACGACCACAAAATATATAAAGTGAAATCAGTGGAGCAGATCATTAAGGAAGTGAAATGCAATGGTCACACAGTAACGGCAAAGCCAGGCGGATACGGACCGCCATACCAATGCTGCAAGCAATATGGATGTGAAACTAAAGTTATGGATGCTAAGTGCATCTTAGACAACGAGGAATGTCTGCTATCCATGACAGAACTTAAGTTCACGCTGGATGCTCTGAATGAAACACTGCAATCGGAATTCTTGTCTTTAAGATCCTCTGTGGAGAGGGTCAAAAGCGCAACGTTTTCTTTTGAAAAAGCCAGAGTCCTTCATAAGAACGCTGTTTCTCAGCTGAAACAAATAGAAGCACACATGAAACAAAAACTTTCAGTTGTGGAGATCACAAATGCTTCGATGATTCACACTCGACGGATTGTTGACTTTGGGTTGAAAATAGCGCAGGCTATGAATTATTCGGATAATGGGAAAGTTGTAGATGTTGACGACCTGCAATTTTCTCTTTCCGTGGTATCTGGGGACGCCAAACAGATTTTTGTGCAAAGTAATGCAAGCACACTTGGTGGCAAACAAGTGCCAGTCCGCTTTTTTCTTAATTTCGACCAAATGCAACGTTCAATTTCTTCGGCATCCAAGAACATTATGGTCGACTTATTTGGTGGAAAACACGCAAGAAAAAAGCGATCAACTGCAGAAGACTCAGGAGGTTCTACGCATTCTGTGCATTCGAGCTTTATGGATTACCAATACGCGTGCCTTTTTGTCAACAACACAAACTTGTACTTCAGCTACATGTTCAAATCTTTGCATACCCTTATTTCTTCAGTCAAAGGATTAAACCAAAACCTGACGTTTGGAATACACGATCTTGATCACCTATCTCAGACAATGAATGGTACCGGTTCTTTTTCGAATGCCTCAAAAACAGCAAATAACCACGGCAAAGAATATCTAAACAGCTCTTTCGTAACAGGATTCCTAGAAGTCGTACAGGTGTTAAAAGACGAGAATATCAAGCTGATGAATGGTTCATCTCAATCTTGGAATGACACTTTTGAGGCTTGGAGAGCTTTCCTGGAGGTATACACCTCAGAAAAGGGCTTTGAAGAGTGCTCTGGAACACAAGACTGCATCAAATACTTTTTCGAGGGAGCAAAGGAATTTTATGAGTTCGAAAGCAGTCGGAGGGCACTTGAGATTAAAGATGCTCTGCCTCGACTTGAAATCGTGATTCAGTCATTAACAACTAAAGGTCTGAGTATGGGGGAAGCAGAGCAGGCTCTCATTCTCGCCGACCACTTATTGAACAAAACGCTTGATGACTCCGTTTTGTGTGGTGGATCACCAAGCATAACGTCTTCATCTCAAGGTGAAGTTATCATTTTCCCTGGAGATAGCCTTTCGCTGAATTGTAGTGCAAAGACCGAAGAGATCCTAACATATACTTGGCGACGAAATGGTAAGATCATTAGCAAATCAGCATATGGAGGTTTCTCGATAGACGCCGTCACCAAAGATAATGAGGGAGCTTATGTCTGTGAGGTTTCCAACAATAAAGGAAGCACTTTGTCCAATGTCACAATAGTCAGAATTCATAGCAAACCTATAATCACTGAACATCCACAGCCACACAGAGTGGTCTTCAGAAGCCAAATACCAGTGACATTTAAGTGTAATGCGACTGCCGAACCATTGCCTACTTTCCAGTGGTTCTTCCAATCCAAAAACGCATCCACTATTACAATTAACGAAACCAGACCTGTGTTATACATCGCCGACCCTCATCTTTACCAGGAGGGTTATTACTTTTGTGAAGCATCTAATGAACACGGTAGAGCAGTCAGCCAAAGAGCCCGACTGGATGTTTTAAACTACACAGTTGGCCTTCCACGATTGCTGATTACTTTAAACCTGACCAACCTCTGTTGGCTAACATCTAATTTCTCCAACAGTTCTGCCCCAAATTCTCAGTTATGTGATAGATTACCTTCATCACTGGACGACAATCTCACTGACAGCCTCCTAAACGCCCTGGCAACGTCGCTGAATTTGTCCACTTTTAGAGTCTCTGATCTGATCTACTATTCAGAAAATACGTCAAAGCCGCATTTGTTATTCACTATCGACTTTGATAAAGACTTGTTAAAAGACGAAAACCTTACAACCTCTACAAAAGTAGCTGAAGCGATTGCTGTTGGTGAAGCAAGGATGGTAGAGAATCTTCAAAAGTTCAACGCAGACGTACTTAACAAGACCTTTAAGGTTTCTTGGAACTCCTCCACTCTACTTGTTGAACCAGGAAGCATATTCGCTTACCCGTTATCACCCGAATGTCCCGAAGGACAGTTCCTTAATGGACACGGTTTTATTTGTGGTGAGTTGCGTTCTACATTGGTGACTTTAATAGATGTGTTAAGAATCACAATTTCATTTGGCTCAACCAAGAGCTCTTGGTTCAACATACAGCGACACACAGTACGCCACCCGCCACAGGCACGTACGCGCCTGCGTCGTCTATCTTTGTCAAACGAGCATACAAAGCGCTTCAAAAGCCGACATTTAGAGCGCTGACTTTGCTAGAAAAAAGCTGAATTGAATTAAAAAGTGGCCTTGACTCATCAAGTCAATATACAGCAGGGCCAAGTTGTTCAAAAGCTGGATAGCATCATTGATCCATCGAAAAAAAAAAACTTTCTTTGATCCACCAGAAAAAACACTATCCAGTATAGTATGGAAAGTATAGAGAAATCAATAACGCTATCCAGTAGATAGAAATTGATCCGGTGTTTAATGTTTTATCAACCTTTTGAACAACTGGGACCAGAAGAATCACGTCATCATGCCGATTTTTTGTCTAGGTCGTTATTTCCTATTGGTTGGCCCCGACTTGAGGGATAATTGTCCTAGAAAAATGACGCTCATGATTTTCCACGTTGGGTAGATAGGGTTTTTTAAATCTTAACATATGTTGCCTTAAGCTAGCTCTGATTGATTACTCTATTAAAAGTACGCTCTAAGTTATTTACAGTATTTATTTCAAGCTAAGTTAGAAGTTTTCTTTCTTTTAGCAAACTGCCCAGCTGGTCTATACTACAACCTTGAAAACGACACGTGCGTTGATTGTCCACATAGTACATATCAAACAAACCAAGGTCAAAACGAGTGTATTCACTGTGGCCAAAACCTCACAACGGCTATGGAAGGAACTGTAGAAGAAAAAGACTGCATCGGTAAAGTGTCCGACTATGATTATTTGGGAGCGTAGTCATACTTTGATAAATCTTTATTGAAGCTTTCATTTTATCAAAGGTCGGTCAAATCATCGCTCGTACTTTATTCTTTTCCACAAATCCAACGTGCATTTACAGCTTCCTGAAATCAAGAGGATCGCCCAAATGCAATGTGGGAAGACAAGAGAAGAGTGCTTCGGTAAATCTACACATCTCATTCCAAAATGGCCAAACATTTTGTTATTCGTTTGTCTTTATGCTAATCACCCTCGATACCTTGCTTTAAGGTAAAATTTCTTTTGAATTCTGCAAAGGCAATCGAAGCAAAGAGGGCTAATTAACAAAAATAACCGACATTTTGACTCAGACGATACACGACTGTTAAACTGTGACAATTGAAACGCACCAATGACATTACGAGTCTTCATAGCCAATAACATCACGGCTTAACTGACAGACGGCCGATAACATCGCGACTTTATTGACCAATCAGGTCAATAACCATAGTTTAATACCATCAACTGACGTGATACAACTCACTTTGACTCTGAAGATTATTACCGAACGGGTTGTCGAAACGTCAGTGACTGTCAACAACAGTCCTCTTCATGCCAGGACTACGTTCACCCGCACGATCATGCTCAACCTACTTATGAAATGACTTCTGGGTTCAAACCTTTCACAAAAGTAGTAAAAGATGTCTAGTTATTTCGCGACCAGGTTCAAACGCACCTTCATTAAAGTACAGGACCTAATTGATCGATAAGACGAGATAAGGAAGTGGTGTTTTACGTTTCTGTAGTTTGGTTTGGCAATTTCAGTTTTGCACGGCACGATGTCGCATTGTTAGGCTTGCCTCTCCAGCCGTGGAGGCCTTGTCGCGCAATGTTTGAACTGAGCCTTAACCACTTTAATGTCACTATTATATATTCTTCGCTTCTTAGCTGACTGTCCGAGTGGTTCATTCGCAACAATGAACAGAACGTGTCTTCTGTGTCCTCGCGGTACATACCAACCTTCAAGAGCTCAGCTATCTTGCATATCATGTGGTCAAAACCTGACTACCGCAACAACTGGAGCGGTGAACAATAAACTCTGCATTGGTAAGTTCAAGGTATTAAAAAGATTGGGTTAGGCCTTATAACCTCCAATTGACACCGTGGAGAGATGAGAATGTCACCGCGGGTTAAGGTCTTCGTAGGGTCAAAGTCCTTCCATGATTTAGGAACAAGATTAGATTTGCGAAAAAAGGTGTAAAATTAGGCTCGCCTCTCCAGCCGTGGAGGCCTTGTCGCACAATGTTTGAACTGAGCCTTAACCACTTTAATGCCACTATTATATATTCTTCGCTTCTTAGCTGACTGTCCGAGTGGTTCATTCGCAACAATGAACAGAACGTGTCTTCTGTGTCCTCGCGGTACATACCAACCTTCAAGAGCTCAGCTATCTTGCATATCATGTGGTCAAAACCTGACTACCGCAACAACTGGAGCGGTGAACAATAAGCTCTGCATTGGTAAGTTCAAGGTATTAAAAAGATTGGGTTAGGCCTTATAACCTCCAATTGACACCGTGGAGAGATGAGAATGTCACCGCGGGTTAAGGTCTTCGTAGGGTCAAAGTCCTTCCATGATTTAGGAACAAGATTAGATTTGCGAAAAAATGTGTAAAATTAGGCTCGCCTCTCCAGCCGTGGAGGCCTTGTCGCACAATGTTTGAACTGAGCCTTAACCACTTTAATGTCACTATTATATATTCTTCGCTTCTTAGCTGACTGTCCGAGTGGTTCATTCGCAACAATGAACAGAACGTGTCTTCTGTGTCCTCGCGGTACATACCAACCTTCAAGAGCTCAGCTATCTTGCATATCATGTGGTCAAAACCTGACTACCGCAACAACTGGAGCGGTGAACAATAAGCTCTGCATTGGTAAGTTCAAGGTATTAAAAAGATTGGGTTAGGCCTTATAACCTCCAATTGACACCGTGGAGAGATGAGAATGTCACCGCGGGTTAAGGTCTTCATAGGGTCAAAGTCCTTCCCTGATTTAGGAACAAGATTAGATTTGCGAAAAAAGGTGTAAAACCCAATTAACATCGCAGCCCAGAATCCCGCGTCAGAAGTTGCTATAAGCTGGGGATGAATCCGCAATAGGATCTCCGGGGTGAAAGGCAATTTCTGTTCCTGAGTGTCACCGAGAATGCGGCGAAGACAACGAATTGTAAGTCTAATGGAAAATACATCTTGAAACGTAACATGGACAAAATGCCGGTCTAGAACATTTATGGCAGACAGCTAGTTAATAATCGTACTGTATTTGCAGTAAGACGAGAAATATACTAGAAACCTTATTACTATTATCCAATCCTATACGTCTTTTGAGGGATTTAGGTTGCAATTGGGAAGAAAATTCTGTTACCATCCCCTGTCACCCTCCTCCCCCTCTCCTCATTTACGTTTCGTTGTTCTCATTCATCATTAGCGACCATACGATCCGACAAAGACGACGTCAATGAAAACAAATAGACTTCGCATCCTTTAAAACTATTCTGCGATTATCCCAAATCGCCCTGTTACTTGAAGGAAGATAATTTTTGGAACTGAAGAGAGGGGACCGCACCTGATGGGAGTTCAGACGGAGATGGTATAATTTATCGCCTTACTGTTTCCGTTCTCAAGTACAGGGTTGTGCAGGGAAGGCAAAGAAATTGACAAAAAAAGCATGATGTACGTGCAGAGTTGCTGGTTTGCTCATTAAACCCATTGCTTTTTTGACGTTCCCGTTGCCGTCGCCGTCGCCGTCGCCGTTATAATTTTGTAAAGTTCTATTGTAATTTTTGTGGCGAATGTATTAAACTAAACTAATTCTAACCTTTTGCGCGACACGACATGTAATTAACAATTATTCCTCGAGCCCGAATGGGCTCTGAGTTTCGGCCTCATGGGCTATTGACTCAGAGGCCATGAGGGCGAGAGGAATAATTAGTAGTAAAATCCAACTAGTTGGTCAAAAATATCGAGAATAAAAAAAATTTACCTAGTTAAAGCTAGACTTTAATCCTTTTTTGCCGCCAAAAAGCCCGCGCTTTTCGCTACTAGGGGGATATAACCTATAGCCTAGTAGTAGCTCAACCAATCAGAACGCAGCGTTGACAATAGACCATTGGTTGGATTTTACTAATATGCAATATGCACGATTTGCGCGCCAAGAATCAGTGAACCGGGGTTGGAACAATTTCATTTCTGCAATGGACAATGAAAGCGCGGAAGGAGTTAGAACTTGCATAATTATCAAAAGTAGGTTGAGTTTGATCGTCCGGGTGAACGTAGTCCTGAATAGGAATGTTGTTGTTGACAGTGACTGACGTTTCGACAACCTGTGCGGTAGTCATCTTCAGGGTCAAAGTGAGTTGTATCACGTCAGTTGATGGCATTTTACTCTGGTTATTGATCTGATTGGTCAAATACGTCGCGATGTTATTGGTCGTCTGTCAGTTAATCCGTGATGTTATTGGCTATGAAGACTCGTAATCAGTAATTGGTGCGTTTCGATCCGTCTATTGTCACAGTTAAACAGTCGTCTATTGTTAGTCGAATTGTCAGTTCTCCAGTCGTTCTCTCGTAGTTAGTTTTGCTTCATCTCGTCAATAAGTCGTTTGTACGGCGCTGGTAACTGTTGGCTACGATTCAGTGGCGTTTGTTCTAAGTTAGTAAACCAGTTTTCTAAAGTAAGACGTTGATAGTAGTCTGTAGAATACGTTATACATGTCGCAGAGTCCCAGTCAATTTGATGTTTCGTCTGCAAATGGTTCTCAGCAATGTGATTTAATGTCACCATTACCAGCTACGTTCACCCGGACGATCAAACTCAACCTACTTTTGAAATGACTCCTGGGTTCAAACCTTTCACAGTTTCGCATAATTATGTTACGGTTCAGTGGTGCTAACTCACAGGTGAGGTTGTGCTTATTTCTTGGCCATTTCGAAGCTTTTCCCCTAAAACAGTAGCTACTTGGCTACGTGGCTACGCGGCTACGTGAGTACAAGTAGCTGCGTAGTCCATGGGTTAGGTTAGGGTTAGAGTTGCGATTCAGATTAGGGTTATGGTTATGTTAGCCGCGTAGCCGCGCAGCCCCTTAGGGTTAAAGTTACTGTTAGAGCCACGTAGCCACTTAGAGTTAAAGTTAGAGTTAGGGATAGCTGCATAGCCGCGTAGCCACGTAGCCACTTAGGGTCAAAGTTATAGTTAGGGATAGCTGCATAGCCGCGTAGCCACTTAGGGCTAAAGTTAGATTAGGGATAGCTGCGTAGCTGTGTAGCCTCGTAGCCACTTAGGGTTAAAGTTAGAGTTAGGGATAGCTGCGTAGCCACGTAGCCACTACTATAGGGGTATAGCTTCAAAATGGCCTGGTATTCTGCAGTTACTCCAATATCTGTTCGGAGATGCAGAAATTGCCTAGAATTTTCTATAGCTTGGGAAAGGCTAAACATTTCTAGATGACAGTTCCACTCATGTACAATTTTCGTAACATATCTAATAGATTCCCTACTATTTTCTAAAGTATAATTTTCGCATTTCAGCACCCAGGATAGCCTTTTTTCGTAGAAGAAGGAAACCTAAAATTTTCGGATTCAAAGAGGCGATGGAGAGAGGAATCAGAAAAATTCTTACTTTCGTAAAACTTAAAATTGCATCTTAAATTTTCGGGAAAATAATACGGAGGCCCTTGTAATTTCGCAAAGACTCAAGTTGCCCTAGGACGACCGAACAGTTACAAATTTTATAGCGCCGCTTAGAATGCATTTCTAGAGATCTGAAAGCACTCTGGATAGCCTAAAGAGTGTTTTCAATGCATTTAGGAGGAAACCGTCGTTGGGTGCCCCTGTTGGACTATGTCCTTGAAGTACGCAGTGTAGTCGATTATTAAAGATAAATCAATACATTTAGTTGTCAAACAACTGTAAATTAGACCGATATCCGGCCGTATGATTGTCATCCGCGATCAAAGTTCACCTTAAAATCTTGCACTAAGTACAGCACAGCTTCCAGGAACTTTATCACAGTACAGAGTATCCGTTAAATCTAAATCGTTAACAAACTTTGCGCAAGTCTTACAAACCTCTATTAAGCGGACACCCCCCGTTAAGCAGACACTTGGGTGGGTCCCGAAGGTGTCCGCTTGATAGAGGTTTCACTGTATGTATATTTTGTGTTTTTGGCAAAATGATAATAAAAACAATAAACAACAAAAAAATAAAAATTCCACACAAAAAAAAGAGAAAAAAGAAAGAAAAGGAAAACAAACAAGGAGGAATTGAAATGGTTTGCTAAATGTTATTTTAAAAGCTGAGACCCTCCTAAATGATGAAAGCCAAAGAATTCCTACAACGAATCTACTAGTGAAAAACCAACATGGCGTTCAACAACAGATTCAAGAAAATTTAAATCCAGTCTACTCCTTATAACTTGAACCTTCTAGGGAAATCGAAAAACTTTCCAGTTATTTGGAGCTTGAAGCAAATAACCAAAAATGAAGAAACGGGATGGAGGAGGAATGCAAGCGTCACTTCAAGGGCAGCACGAAACATTGATATTTTGGCAAAGAAATTTAGCAACAAAGCTTGATCAGTCATTTAAACATAATTTCTTTGAATTGGACTGCTGACCAAAAAGTAAAGACAAAGAGCACATAGTTGTTTTGAAATAAGTTCAATGTTTTGGACTGCAGTTCATTGCTTTTTTTCCCGAGTTGTTACGCGCATTTATGAATGGTTCGAGTTATCGAGGGTAAAATTGTACTGAAACGATGATCTGAAGGGAAACCAAGATTACTTTGAGTTAGTGGGAGATTCCAATTAGGAAGGTTTCGAGTTACTGGGAGTCGACTGTCTGTGCCAATTTTGTCAATTTTACACACCCGTCACCGCGACTACAATGAGTTGCATTTTCATGCCCCTTTCACGATATTATATGAGCTCATTTTGACCCAAATTCTTGTTAAGCCCGGGCTTAATTCTATGGCTTAAACGCAGCTACGCCCCTGGCTTTGTTATCTCCTCTTGCTGTTTTAGAAGGCTACTGAATTGAGCAAAGTTTTGATATCGTTCTGTGTTAAACTGTCCCCATATTAAGCGGACACCTTTCATCAAGCGGACGAATAGCCCGGCTGAGAATGTTCTGAAATGAAATTGACTTCAGTCGCGGCTGATCGGTTAGAGTGGTTTGCTCTTCATTCATAACTTGAAATGCACATTCCCATCAGTTTACCCTTTTTATTCCTCCTATTTTAAATCCAATTCAGCTATGTTTTTTCTTTATAGTTATTTGGTGAAAGTGCAGCGTGAAAGCGGTCGAGTTCTTTGTTTTCGAGATCGTAGGGCCACTTAAGACTTGACCTGTGGAACAGATCAAATGCGTGAGTGAGTTTAAGATAAGCCCATACTGACCTTGTCCGAATGAATCCTTTGAAAGCAACTTTGTGGACACGGCTATCTTTAAACAAGGAACGGGGAATTGGAGAATAGGAATGGGGAACGGGGAAAGGGGAATCTTTAAACGGGGAATCTTTAAAAGCGGGAATCTTTAAAGTGGGGAATCTTTAAAACGGGGAATCTTTAAAATGGGCAATCTTTAAAACGGGGAATCTTTAAAACGGGGAATCTTTAAAATGGGCAATCTTTAAAACGGGGAATCTTTACAATGGGCAATCTTTAAAATGGGGAATCTTTAAAACGGGAATCTTTAAAAGCAGGAATCTTTAAAGCGGGGAATCTTTAAAATGGGGAATCTTTAAAACGGGGAATCTTTACAATGGGGAATCTTTAAAATGGGGAATCTTTAAAACGGGGAATCTTTAAAACGGGAATCTTTAAAACGGGAACCTTTAAAAGCAGGAATCTTTAAAACGGGGAATCTTTAAAATGGGGAATCTTTAAAACGGGGAATATTTAAAAGCGGGAATCTTTTGTAAACGCTGTCATAATAGAGGATGATTCTAAAAACTCTTACTTTTGCTGATAATTGTAAAACCGAGTTGTCTTTACCAGGCTGGTGTGAAATCAATCCTTGCACATTTCCGAGATCTTAGCTGAATGATTTTGAAAGCGCTGGTCTTTAAAAAGTTTGAATTTGACGAAGGAAGTGGTCTGTTTTAGCCAATCAGTTGAATGAACTAAAAACGAGCGCGCTCTCATAATTTGTTGTTGTAGTCATGTTTTTTGTGTATATTATTACCTATACAAATTAAAATGCCATTATTTTTTTTGGAAAAAGCATGACATCCCAGCCAATAATAATCATGAAAGGTCTGATAATAGTCTGTCATGGTCTGCTCACCCACGCTGGTCTCTAGAGGTTTTTAAAATTTTAATTTTCCGACGAGCGTCTACGTCACTATTTTATGGGAGCTTCTCCCCGGGCACACGTCCTTCAAGACTGAGCGATCCGTCCCAAAATTAACCTGCAATTTACACTCCGAAGCGAGAAATGATAAATATCCCCCGTCCCTTTTATACGGAAGTCCTCCCCCGAAACCATCTGACTCTACTTCTAAACTTGCAAACTGAATTTCTTGTTCTTCTCTAAAATAAAAGAGCTTTTTGCGAAACTTTTGCAAAAAAATCGAGAATTTTCTCAATTTTTTTTGGCAAACGTTCTTTAAAAGACTGTGGTTACCACTGCTTAGCTAGTACAATTTGTAGCTCATTCATCTATAACCTGCGATCCGGTTTACCTTTCAAAAAATAAAAATCAAACAGACCCCCTGTTGTCGCATCCGGGAAACGGAAGACTGAGGAGAATTTAATATTTCATGACAACTTTATACAGTGCTCTACAGAGAAATTCTCATTTTTTGCGCAGCATTTTGGAGGGAATATTCGTGTATTTGTAGCCACTACGTGCTTCGTTTTACCTCTTTACAACGTGTGGTTGTACTGTTGTCATGGTAATTTTAACTTACGACGTCAAGGAAGAAAGTAATCAAAACATAGTTAACTCGAAGCAAACCGCTAACTAGAGTTAGATTTCATTTTCCTTGGGTTCAAATTTTTGTCTGGATGACCGCCACCCTCCCCCCCGCCCCATGAAGGTCTGGATCCGCTACTGTACATTAACCTCGACAGAAACACACGCAAAAGTACATAGTTTAGAGTCATGTTTTGTTTTATAGTTGCGTTCCTCTTGTTCCGGTTGACCGTTAGCACAGTGTGTGTAAATATGGTTTTCGATAGTACTGGTTAAAAACCTAAAACTGGATTTATCTTTGGGACAGTTTAATGTAGAAAAAGGAAAACCGTAATATATTACTGTTGTTACTGTTACTGTTGCTGTTATTGAAGGTCACCCGAAACATATCTTACAGTACCTCATTATTATATTATTATATTCTTTACATGTCATAGATGATATTTGAAATAATATTTATGTCGTCGTTGTTTCAAATTTGTAATTCACTTACCTTTATGTTGTCGTGGTTTTAAAATTCCCCGGGGAAAAATTCCTTCATAAAATGGGTAAAATGTGCTAAAAGTGAATAGCTGGAGTATTTGGCTTCGAATGATTAATAAAGCTGACATTAGACCAACTTAACAGTGTCCTTTTGTTCTAAATATTTAAAGATTCCCGCTTTTAAAGATTTCCCATTTTAAAGATTCCCGCTTTCAAACCTTCCCCGTTTTAAAGATCCCGCTTTTTAAGATTCCCCATTTTATAGATTCCCGCTTTTAAAGATTCCCCACTTTAAAGATTCCCCGTTTTAAAGATTCCTGCTTTTAAAGATTCTCCGTTTTAAATATTCCCCATTTTCAAGATTCCCGCTTTTAAAGATTCCCTGTTCCCATTCTCCGATTCCGCGTTCCTTGTTTTAAAGATAGCCTTGTGGACACCTACCGAGGCTGAAAAAATGGAACTGAGTTTATGCGTGTTTGTGGACTGAAATAGTATCACATCATAAAGTTTTTCATTGCGTGATGTTCACTGATCCGGAAGAAGAAAGTTATTGAAAGAAAGAATCCGACTAATTCACAACAACAACCACAGCCGTCTTATTGCACACATCAGACAGACTCAACGAACACGTGTACATCGAATATATATATAACTTCACAGAAGTTCAGGTTTCATGAGTAATAATCGTTTTATTGCTACAGAACTGTTTCGTATGGTGCAAGGACCACACTCATCAGGCAATTTTGACGACTGAACTGTTGGAATTGGAAGGCTAGCAGCTAAATGCGAAAATTTAAATGGTTGCTATGGTAGATGCGTTACATTCAGGTTATATGAAACTGTTGAAAGGGTTGCTAGGTAACAATTCCAACAGTTCAGTCGTCAAAACTGCCTGATGAGTGTGGTCCTTGCACCATACGAAACAGTTCTGTAGCAATAAAACGATGATTACTCGTGAAACCTGAACTTCTGTGAAGTTATAGCTGATGCTCCTCAATCAATTGAGTCGAGCGCTCTACGAAATACGTTCTACTCAAAAAACGAATATATATATATATATATATATATATATATATATATATATATATATATATATATATATATATATATATATATATATAGATTTGCAGAGTTGGATTATTTGGTCGAAGACATTTATTGCTACTCAGAGTTTCATGATCCTTGCGGAGCAATCATCAGGCAACTGCTAAAAATAACGGATACATATGAAGATATACAAAATTTGAAAATACAGAACAATGCGTAGTGGCGTGACATGCAGAAATATGATTGGTTGCTAAGCGAATACGTTCTTCAAGAGGAATTTCTTAGAATGTCTACAATTAGATATCAGTTCGCTTCTGTTGTTCAGGGTTGACATTTCGGGTTTACAGATAGTCTGAGTAGCAATAAATGTCTTCGACCAAATAATCCACCTCTGCAAATCTAGTAGTTACAGTGGCTTGGTAGATTACATTTGATTGGAGGCATTTTCCTTCGAGTGGACAATCTGGTTTCTTTCTGCAATTGCAGGTGTCAGGTTGTTGCGTTGGTGAGTTGAAATTTGAAAGAACGTACTTGTTGTGTGACGAGATGACAGATTTCATGTTAGGCATGCATGAGTAGCTTAGTTTTAGCGTGTATCTGTTGAAAATCTTGTGGAGTGGGTGATCAAATGTAATCTACCAAGCCACTGTAACTGCAGCCACGA